CCAACATTCTCATGTGAAATGAAACCAAAGGCACTGTCCTACTAATCTATCATTAAAGAAAAATGTATTATTTCACGGTTGACAATTTAATAGTAATTATCTTTTCCTTGTTAAACTACCACTGCCCAGAGCAGTGTTGGGAATTGGCAGTTAATTGCAATATAATTAGCTATTTAGAAGAACTCTAAATTCTGACACGGTACATGCCACTCTTTTTAACCTTTTGACAACTGCAATTTGCACTCAGTCTATAAAATTAAGCAATTAGCATTTCTCTTTCTCTTCAGAGCCAGTGGCTTATTGTGTATTCTACTGCTTATTTTATTTTTAATTTTTGCACATTCCGATTGTAGCGAGGAACAACAGTATGGGAAACAGGCCTGTGGTTTGCTACTTAAATGGGGGGAGGGGGTCTCTGGAACCCCAAATGAAAGTGCATCATTCAATTTTGAATGGACAATGCACCAAGTCCAAATGAACAAACTGCTCACCATTAAGGTGACAAAGAATGCAATTGTATTCAATTGCCAAATGAAACATTATTACATTTTTCCACCCTCTCAGGTTATAAATATATTTCTCTAAGGCATCATTCCATAGCCAATATTGAATATTTAATTAATACTAAAGGAAAGTTGGATTCTTTAACATGAATTTATTGTTCTTAGTAGTCAAGTATTAACTGAATGTGGAATGCAAAAAACAGTATTGTGGCATCTCCCAATATTTTAATATAAACCCATTACAATTTGAGTGATGAAACACTCAGATTAAAGGCTTCTGTTGAGGAAAAATAACTTCTGTGGTTGTACAAATATTAAAAAGTAAACATTAACATGAGAAGATAGAAGCAATGATTAGAAAAGGGTTGTTTTTAGTTTGACTAAAGTGTAATGAGTTTTATTGAAACTTTTGCCTTAGATGTACGTCAATATTTTATAATCTAATTTTTTTTACTGTTGTTAATATAAAGCCCTATTGATTGTTATATTATGATTTCCACAGTACATTTTCTCCAGGGACTACAAATTATTTTCCTTCAGTTTGGTCTTAGTTTAATGATGACATTTACTTTATTTTTAATATTTTAAGTTTACTACAACTTCCACATTTTATTATGAATTCACTTTAAATGTACAAAACCTTACCTCAATCATGTTTTCAGTTACACTGGAAAAATCTGAGTCCTTTAAACTTGCAATATCATCTGTTGCTGAACAGTCTGCAACAATAACTGCGCACAGCCACACTAAGAAAGAAATCTGCTGTACGATGAATTATTGCTCTGTATTCTCCTTTGTTTAATGAAAAAAGATGTTCAACTGCATCAAATCAGGTAGGTTAATTAAATCTAGGTGATAACATTAGAATTAATACATTAAGAATGTGTGCCTCATGTAAAAGTAACAGATGAACAGTAAAGCATACAATGGTAGAGTTATAGGAACAATCTGTCCAGCTATTGAGTTGTGTGGCATTTCCACCACCAGAAAATACTATGGTTTCCACTTGCACTAGGGATGTAATGAATCATGGGGAATGACAAGTGTGGGCGTAGCAATAGCTATACAGCAAATACATGGGTTAGGTAAGACTGTTTTGAACACAAACCAAAGTGATCCTAATATGTAGGTCACATAATTTTCAAAATATAGTAAGAACTTGCTGTATGTGGATGGTACAGATTCACTGGATCTTTTTGAATTAAATCCAAAATGTTAACCCCTTTTTCTCAAATTTGAACCACATCATCAGTGATGGGTCAGGATGTGACCTTTTCCTATTGGCGGGGGGGGCGGGGGCAGAATAGGTGAAATTCTTGGACTTAGGACAACAAAAAGGGAAAGCATTTTACAAGAAAGGTTTCTTTAGTCAAGTACAAAAGTCTGAGGTTCAGAGACGATCAATATAGTACAATCATATTTCTGATCCCGACTGGAGATCTGAAGAATTTTCTTTTCCTATCTACGTAGGAATTAAATGAAAAAATTCTGCTCAATAACATGCCTTAATGCTTCATCAATTCCTTCTCATTACATCACGAATCATTGAGGATTCCCTGAGTGAAACTGACAGTTTTTAGGCAGCTTTGTGTTTTTAGGCTCACTCACTAACAGCTCTGTTGAGACTCCCCAAACTAATTTCACATGGTATATAGGAAGCAGCTAGAAGATTTTCATCCATTATTCTGAGCCAATTTCAAATTAGAGGTTCTGAAGCTTGAAAAGAGAGTATGCTAATCCATGGTATGAACCAGCTTCCCTCCCCTTCAGACACTGGCCAGCCTTCATACACATTTTATGCCAGATCCAATTCTATACTCAACACAGCTGTACTGCAGCTACAATGCCACAACCAGACCACCATTTCATACAGCTTGTGAATTTATCACTATGTTCACTCTTGCTTATAAAAATATATTGACAACTTGGCCTGTTCTGCTGTTCATTTTATTTAATCAGGAGACCCAGCTACGAAAAGTGAATTTTAAGTACGTGACGTTTACTGCCTGATAGGTCATCTGAAGCTCCAAGAACCTCTAGGGGCCTGTGTCATGTAAGACATTTCTGATTTTCAATCTTCCATTTACTGGGCCCATCAATTATTTTCCCTAAGGTGAGGCTGTCAATCAAAGCCTGAATACCCCTCGAGTCAACATTTTTTTTAGTAAAATCATAAAGGCTTATCACATCTTCTACACCGAGCAGCTTTCAGTCTAAACGTGTCCTCTGGACAGCAAAATCTATGTTCTTCGTTCATAAATTTATATTTTTTCTGAAATACTGGCATAAATCCCAATCATCAGGGTGAGAAAAGAGAGCACCATTCTGTCTGGAACTATTTTGCTGTGGCTACTGCATTCTAAAGACATATATTAACAAATGGTCAACATAGATGCAGTTCTATATATTCTGATCACAACAGATCTCCTGCTCCCACTTTAACTTTGAAAAGATAATCACTGGGGAAAAAAAAATCTTTAAAGTGCAGACCTTTTGGGTGGTGGGCGGGGGGGGCAGGAATCTAGTAATAATGATAATCCTTGCTAATTCGATATAGTTCAGCGCCTTGGGACGTCCTCCTGACGTGAAAGGCGCTTTATAAATGGAATCTTGTTGTTGTTGTTTAATAATTTTATATATATATATAGCACTTTGTCATGTCTTTGAGACGTCTCAAAGCGCTTCACAGGATATATTGTACCGTGAACTGACTATATTTTGTGGACGAAATGCGGCAGCCAATTGCGCAAACATTTGTGCGCAAATAGTCAGGGTCCCACAAACAACTGTGGATTGAAGTGACCAATTTATTATTTTTTCGAAGGAATTATTATCCCTGGAAAAGCGATCCGCCAATTGACTAACAACCGGGTTTCTACTTACTGCTAGCTAAACAGAGGCGTGTGGAGTATAGAAATTTGCCCAACACTTTGCCCTGCCCGGGAATCGAACCCAGGTCTCTCACTTGCAAGGCAAGTCTCTTACCGCTGAGCTACAGGACACCACATACTATATTCATGAAGAAATTCAAAACTTCCACACTGGAAATGTTGGTAATAACAAGAGAAATATATTTTTGCCTCTGTCTGAAACATGAAAATTAATGGGATAAGTTCTATAGTTGCTCCACAAATAGTTTCCACACAAATCGGTATTTACCTAGAAACGTTTCCAGTTTCAAATCAAATTCACCCAAGGTAAAATAAGGAGAAAGTTTCAGGTTACACGATAAGATGTAACCTGAAAGCAAAAGATTTCCCCTTCGGGTTACCTCTCAACTATAGCACAATCCCGAGCACTTCCACAAACCTTGGGCACAACTCTAGTTTTCAACTGTATGAACCTAACCATTAGCAATTTGATGAACATAACATTGTTTTTTCTACATGAGAATTTACTTACGAAATAACTTGGGGAAAAGAGAAAAGAACCCTTCTTTTAATCTCACAATTTCAGATCTATATCTAGCCCCAACTCATGTTATGAAAATCCCCCTCTGACAGCTTTAATGGTTCTAAGCGAACTGAGTTTGAACATTCTCCATTAAGCTCCTCGTGGGCATGAGTCCACAGAACTCAACCTATAATTCAACAATAATTGGCAATCTTACCTAGAAAGGCCATACTGAAAGCTACTGCAGGGAATTGAAACATCTATAATAATGCAGCAGGAAGCTCTCAATGGTACTAATCCTTCTTCTTTAGCTCAAAATATACATAAAAAAATGATGCCCATGATTTATTATTTTCAGAAAAAGGCTACAGAACAGAAGGGAAGTGTTATCTGAGTAGAATGATCTTTGGCCTTAATGTCAGAGTAGGCTGTCCTCAAGGAGAAATGTACTAAATTCAGACTTTGTATGCAAAGTACTAGCATTTTACTCTGGTTAAAAAAATAAATCTAATTGCAATGAGCTAAAAGTACTAAATCTAATCCACAAGTTATAGAAGTCCATTCCAGCTGCTTTCTTTACACTCCTTCAAAATGAATCAGATAAATATCTGATAGAGAATTGTATGAGAAGATAAAGGAACGGGTGCAATTGTCTCTTGGACAAAATGCTTTACGTGCTGTTGCAACAGGGAGGCAAGGAATGTCGTCTGTGAAAAGTAGACCAGGTTTGAACAACAAGGATGGATGAATTTCTGGAGTATTTATTCAATTAGAACTATGTGCATCTGGGAGTATTTATGCAGAACAGAAGTAACAGGTTTCATGGGATTGCATTTTAACAAACAGATTTCCATGTTTAATGCTATAATTAAAAGCTAAACACAGCTAAGAAGCAACGTGAACAATTGCATGCATCAATATATAAATTTTAATCCATTATAAACTTACAAGCTTCCTAGAATTATATGCATAAAATATATTGGGAGAAGATTTTTGTTTATAAAAAGCTTTGAATGTCAGAAACTAATATTATAAATCAAGTACCACAGCTATATATATATATATATATATTATATATATAATTGAAAAGAGTGTTAATTTTACCTGATGAATTATCTGTGGCACAGAAAGCTGATCATCATATTTCAGTTTTTCAGTTGGCAGATGTTCTGGCTCTGGACTGAAAACAAAATGTTATACCGTTTAGTAATAACACAACTGCAACAATCAAATCAACATTTAAAAAACTGTGGTTCAATATTATTAATGTAACTAATACATGTCAAATTATTATTCATCGTTAAATTATTTGAAAGTAAATATGCAACAAATAGAGCTGTATTGAATAACCATTCCAGAATAATTCTAGGAAGACTGGTTGGTAGCTAGCCCCGGCATGATAGTCCGAATGGCATCTTTCTATAGAATCCTATCATTCTATGAAGATGCATACTGCTTTGTAATATTAATATGTACCAAGGTAGACTTTGCATCTTTACAAATTATCAGTTTAAACTCCTCTCTTGCAGTCAGTTAAGTGTCACAACAACTTTCCATTATTTTCGGTCTAATCATAATGCTATTTCTTACAAAGTAAACTGCTTTTTGGAAATATACATGCGGTGATGCATCAGATTCACAATTTTCTGCATCATCACTGGTCATCCAATAACTCTTTGTGGCCAAATCATCAATATAGGCCTTGAAGAAGCAGTCTGTCTGCTATCTCACCAAAATAGTAAGAGGGAAGGCAGGAGGGGAAAGAGGGGAGAAACAAGCAAAAGGGCAAGTCTAGAAAAACAATTGCCAAAAAAGATGTACAGTATTTTGCTTCTTTTTTTCTCCTTTCAAAAAAATTCCAACAAAATATACTGATTTGCGAATGCAGAAAAGGAACTACATAGCATATGGACTGTGTTTATTTACAGCAAATTCTGCAAAAACAGAAATGCTTTAATCCGGGTTTGTATTTCCATTTAGAGCAGAAATGCACATTATTCTCTCAAAGGCAAAGATGAAAAGAGCCATGAAAAAATAATTGCACTCATCTCCAGGAAAAGCTGTTGATCTGTTATTTTGTTTAATCATTCTACTGTCCCACAAATAAAGCAAGCAAATAATGCTGTATGCCCATACTGACAGTTAAAAATTAGTTTTTCACAAATGTCCCTGACCCAGAACTAATTTATTTGCAAATTGTGCTACAAGATGATCAATCCTCTTCAGTGTTCTTCTGAAGTCACTGTATTTACATTACATTGGCATTAGCTCAATTTTGATTTGTTTTCTAAAAAAAGGCCAGAGTAGTTTGTTCATTCCTGGCATGTAACCATACATTGTTATCATTTAATTCCACCAACTGAGGTTTCCTTTAAATGGATGTCTGATGATCGCAGATAATAGAATCATCCTTTTTGTAGAACATTCCGTTATTATTTCACATGGGTTCACAACAACTACCAACTAAATCAGCATTATTCATAATTATTCAGTGTGTTGGACTTTTAACTACCTCAGTTTTTAACTTCACCATTCAGTAAGCATTCATATTAACTTGCTAGGGTAACTAGAAACATACTCATCCCAAAAGTAATGTATCTCTTTATAAGGTTCTCTGCCTTTGCCCATAATATCTAATAGCACAAACATTTAGTAGGTACTGTAGGTACCTACTAAATCTACTGTAGGTATTTTAGAGGATCATTAGCTACAGCTGTTGATTAGGAGCTTATTTGGAGCAAGAATGTAATTGGACTTCAGTTTATCCTTTAACTGAGGCGGCAAAACACAACACTGCTCCTGGAATCACAGGGACAGACGAAATTACACAAAGAACCAAAGTGAAATGACAGCAAACATCTGCTGCATCACTTTCCTGACTGGAAACAAATCCTAGTAATAATAATCCTCACAGTTGGTATAGCACCATTCACATTGGGAGGATAATAATAATAATAATAATAATAATCCTTGCATTTGATATAGCGCTTTTCACGTCGGGAGGACGTCCCAAAGCGCTTCACAGAATAGACTGTAAAGTGAATTGACTGTATATTTGTGGGCGAACGCGGCAGCCAATTGCGCACAGCAATGTCCCACAAACAGTCGTAGATTGAAAATGACCAATTTATTATTGTTTTGTTTTGGAGGGATTATTATTAGGCTCTGTGTGGAGTAAGGAAACTTGCCCAAGGTTTCGCCCTCTGCCTGGAATTGAACTCAGGTCTCTCACTTGCAAAGCGAGTGCTCTAACCACTGAGCTACAGGACTCCACGAATATGTCTCAAATATGTCTCCACGAGGATGTCTCAAAGCTGTTCACAAGATTTAAGTGTAGTGACTGTATTTGATAGGCACACATGACAACTAATTTGTGTATAGCAATGTCCCAGAAATAGTCACTAAGTGAATGACCGACTTGACCAGGACATTGCAGGAAACTCAGTCTTCTTTTCGTCTTTAAAGATAGACAAAATACATCAATTTAAAAACAAAAGATTCTGGGCTGAAAAAAAAGCCATGTATCATTTTTGTCGCAACATCACATAAGAGCAACACTGACATTCGTGAAATGAAACGATGCATTCTGACAATGGCTGCATGATCATTTCCGTATTTGGCAAAGATTCCCATTACAGAGAGTACTCCTTTAATTTATGACAGCTTTAATATTAGGAAAGGAAACAGCCCTGTGAGTGATGGAAGCCCGTGTTCATTAGAACAACAACAACAAAATGACATTTGTACAACACAGAGCTAGAATTTGTCTTGGAAAGACCAACAATGAAAGCAGAAAACCTTTGTAAATGACCCATGGAATATTTCTCCCATTTACATTTAATGTTCAGATTCAACAATTAAATTCAATGTGATTCTACAGTTCATTTTTGCAGATTAATTTTTGCAGACGCCAGAATCCACTAATTTATTTTCCGTCCTTACTTTAAGCAGCAAAGCAAACAAATTAGGATAATTTCCAAGTGCCGCAATGCTGTAGGATCAAGCCAACAGCCTTGATCTACTGTTTGATTGTCAACCAAGATCTGCTGACATGTGTGTATGTTTGCATGCATCAGTGCACCTCCAATACCAGTGTTGTACATGTCTAGCTGGATGAAACACCACTTAAAGATTATCTGTCGTGGCTTTACTATTGGATTGCACATAGTGTAAATACACCAGGGAACATATGTAGCAGAAGCACAAAGAAACAATTAGGATGAATTTTAAAAATTCCTTCTATCGAACTACGTTATTTCAGCATGATGGGAAATGTGACTCCTGAGACTCTGAGTCAGCTGTCCTGAATGTAAAAGCTGAAACTCACCCTTTCATTGTTTAAAACGAACTTTAAGCGCTCCGGGATGCTACCTCTCGTGAAGGGCGCTATATAAATGCAAGTTGCTGTTGTTATTTAGGGAACCTCTTAGGCTATATAATTCAAGGCATTATCACTGACCTGTGAAGCCACTCATCATCATCACAGCTCAAAAACGAAGGGGTATTATTTATTTTTTTAAGTCCTATTACTGCATTGAGAAAACAATTTCTGTTAACTTAGAAATGCAGAAGTTGAAAGAGCATGACTGCCACCTACTGCACTACAGCTGTAAGCATAGTAGTATTTAGTAAATAGTAATAATAACCTTTATATTTGGTATAACGCCCTTCATGTTGAGAGGATATCTAAAAGCAGCGCTTCGCAGAATAAAATGTAAAGTGCAGTGACTGTGGAGTGCAAGACAATGGTTTTGTGGAGAAACTATACTGAAATCATTCAGGGAGGCAAACCAGCTTATACTATTATGGTATAGAAATTATGTCAATATTTCCAGTTCCTCTTTGTTCTGGCAATTTGACATATTTCATGTTATATTTGATTGCTTATTTATTTATTGCTTGTTTGCTGAAGAACAATGTAGCAGAAAAAAACATACATAAATTCCAGTGTAAACAAACTGGTTCTGGGAGCACCGTATAACAAATTCCTTAACTAACTGCTGAATGATGTTCTGTAACTGAAACCAAAAGGAGCACAACTTAGGTTTTTAAAAATAAACTAACAAATTGAATAACATTTTAACTCCAGCAGTGAAACGGTTACTTTTATCCCAGGTCTCTCTGCTGCCTCTCCTGGCACTTTTAACTGGTCCAGTGGATTCTGATCTATGATGACACCATCAGGTGAGCACACTGTTGTGAATACCATAGTGAACAGTCAGAATAATAAGAAAAAAACAGCCACTTCAGAAAGCACGTCACACATCCATTAAAGATCTGCCTGCCTATTGGTCAATTCAGTCTTTTCATCTTGCACTCCAGGTGGTGACTTGTGCTAAGGTTGTCTCCCAACTGGTTAGGGATAGTGCACTGAATGCAAAACCCTCAAAAGAGAAAGCAATTCAGATCTTATGAGGCTAGAATTATTCAAAGATTCCACCTATTCCTGAAGCATAGTATTTTTTACGACTAACCGCTATGACCAGAAGAGATGTCAAAACATATACTGTACAATTGCAATCCGGTTTAAAAAAATTATTTTTTTGATATTGTAGTGAAACCATAATTCAAGAATTGTCTGTGTGAGTTAAGTGTGAACTATCCTAACGTATTGCATGGTCACGTCTATGCCATTAACACAAACTCCTTCAGACTTAAAGCAGTCACACCCATTTCCCCACCATCAGTCCTACTTTTATTTTTCACCTCCAATTCGGTCTCCTTAAAGCCAATGGCTTTTCCTTGGAACACAATTTAATAGTGTGAGACAATTCTATATTCTATTAATTTGTTGACTGTGTTTTTACTCAAACATCATGTTTGATTCAATGCCTCAAGTGTGCAGCATTCCATTCCCTGTGTCAAAGTGTCACACATAAGCCCTCATCTATTTTTGCTTACCTCAATTCAGTTATGGTGTCATTCGGATTTAGTTTTATGATATCAGTAGTTATTTCCACTTTCCGTACACTGCCAAAGAAATCTGTGATGAGAACACGCCAAGAATCTCTCTGAAACAAATCAGTCCGATGTCCAGGGGTAGAAACACACAAGCTTGTAGGACAGACTTTGAACTGGAAAAAAAGAGCAAACTATAAATCTGGAAGAAAAACAAGCTGTCAAAAGCTCACAAGACAAATAAACTCCACGTGTAATAAAATCGTCAAAATTTAAAACAAAGTGTATAAATACTGCACTTTTAAAATCCAAATACTTTTTTAACAAGCAGGTTAGTTATGCATAATTTAGTTTATTTTAAAAGTACAGTACAAGACATTCTCTAAAGTCTGTTTTTAAAGCATTGCTTTCATCTACCAGCTTCAGTAAAATATCAAACCCAACATAGCTGCAAAAGGTCGGCTTCACAGCCAGCTACTTCTAACTCAAAAGAAAATTTCAAAGCCTCTAAATATGAACTGCTTTCAGATTCCTTTTTATTTCAGGCAGTTAAAATCATGACCATCTCTTCATTTAGAAATGTTATACCAATTAGAACTAACTGTAATAGACATAAATTTACAATTTCCTTTTACCTTAACAGGTTATCTATCAATTGTTTTAAGAGGGTCTTTCAACAACTCATCATTATTATAGACTTCATATGCACTGATTTAATAACGCTCCAAAATGAAATGTTACTTGCCAAGTCATCCATGTTGTTCTGGCTGGCTGGATGAATATCCTCTAAAAATTTAAGGAGATAATAAGTGTATCTGTCCATTAGATGAACCCCAATGGCAAGATCTGGTTGGTGCTGATAAAAATGAAGGATAAAATGTTAAAAGGTTGATAAAGCTAAGTCAGATGAATTCATTAAAAAGCCAAGCAGACTATTAAAGTGCATCATCCTTCACTGAACAAGAATATCCTCATTCTTTCAGCAACTGATTACAATGTATCACCTTTACAATCCTGCTGAGAAAGTTCATGCCTTCTATTTAGTTTGTATCTTACATTTTTAACTGTTCACTTAACTTAATCTGTCTTTGTTAATTGCGGGCAGACAAGTGGATTATGTAGTATTTTAGCATATTTATAGTCAATAAAGGTCCAGACTTACTGAAAGAGAGTCCTCCCCAATTTGGCTGCTGGCCAGAGCCATAATGTTAGGAGAATAGAATTTTTCATACATGGATGCACCCTGACAGGTATCAATGATGAAAAGCAATTCATGGTATCTGGAAAAACACAGATTCATTAATCTTCCTGTATGCCTACTGCATATATAATATGGCTTACTTTAATTTTTCGATTCCTTTCAGGCCAAGACATCAAAGAAAGAATCCATAGTTTTACAACAATGCAGTGAAGTAAATCCACTAAAATAAAATCCAATCAAGAATACACTGTTTCCAGTACATATTCTACCTTACAGGCTATGCAAACTCACTGCTTGTCGGCCTACACAACTCCTCCCTCCATAGGCTGCAGATCACCCAGAACTCTGCAGCCCGTATCCTCTCCCGCACCAGGCTCCGCGACCCTATCACCCCCATCCTCACCCGACTCCACTGGCTTCCCATCACACAGAGGATATAGTTCAAGATGCTGGTCCTCACCTTCAAAGCCCTCCATGGCCTCTGCGACCTCCTAACCCCCTATCAACCTGCCCACTACTTCCGCTAAGTGAGCTCCAGCCCGCTTTACATCCACCGCCGCCTCACCTGTCCCATCATTGGTGGGCGGCCCTTCCGCCACTCTGCCCCCACCTTCTGGAACTCCATCCCGCAGTCCCTGTGCCTTGCCCCCTCCCCTGCCTCCTTCAAGACCAGCCTCAAGATCCTCCTTTTCGACCATGTCTTCAGTCACCCTCTTTCCCCCCCACTGCCTCCACCCTCCCTGATCTCAACCCCCACTGAATGTCCAGCTCCTCGAACGTCCTCCCGACGTGAAAGGCGCAATACAAATGCAGTTTTGTTGTTGTTGTTGTACTCAAAAGAGAGGAAGAGAACACATTAAAATACCCAGATGAAATGTGATTAATATTTGGATACAATTAATGCGAAATAATTGATTTCAATAAGTGGTAATTGTAATGGTATATGTTGAAAAGGGTACCTGTTGAAAATTAATAGACAATCGATAATGGAGGACCTATATCACTTGAAAGGAACTTATTGAAGAAAGATGGTCTGTGCAGATAGATTGGAAATAATTCACAAATGATTAATTTACACAATTTTTTTTGCAGTGTACATCCAATCAATTTTTTAATCTTCATTTTCCCATTTTAGCTTATTTAATTCGACAAAGGTAAATTCTAGATTTCAGATTAATAAGCTTTGCCTCATGCAGTATTATGCTTGCAACGTAACCAATTTTCATTGTCTTTCAGATGCTAATTTCACCTGCTGTGGATTTACAACATTCCTGTTTTCAATCCAATTATCTCGAACCAGTGTACATCTCTATAGTTAAAACATGGCCAGCTTTTATTCTAAAAATAATAGTTTCACAGCTAGCATTTGTTTCAGTGAAAAACTCTATTTGCTCATATGACTTCTCTGGTTTGCGTCACAATCACAGTTAAATTATTGGTTCCGAGATGCCCAATTAACTTGCAGTGGTTAATCACATTTCCACCACCCGAATGTAAAAATCAACATTATCTTCAGCGATTGCCACAAAAGGATTTAAAAGTCAGAAAAAGGGTCATGTACAAGGTCATAATGTTACAAATTATAAAACCAACAATCTAATGTTTTCAGGAATAAAAGGGAAAAACTAAATGCTAGTCATAAAGTCACCGCCTTCATCACTTCTGCTTTGCAATTGCGTAGCAACCAGTGACCTGATGATGCAAAAGTTAATTTTTTTTAAAAAAAACACAGTAACCGGCTGGAGTGCATGGAGTGAGACAGCCAGCTGCACGCACACACAATGAAACCTGCAATCGCACCTCGCTATAGTTTGGGAAATGATGGATTCAACTCCCTGCGTTATAACACGGGTCATACTATGAATTAGCACAGCTTCTTTTTGTTCAATTGTGAAGGCAGTTGTAACTTAGATAAATTTCATTGGACACATGGTACTTTGAGGTAGTATATATTTTAATAAGGTTCCACTTGCAGCCTGCTGCACCCTGTTACTTCAATGGAAGACTGCCCATTCTGAGTATCATTTGAATACTAAAACAGCTATCTGCCCGCAATAGTTGGGAAATGCGCCACTGTTGTGAGCATTTGGCAGTATCACAGGAATAGTTGAGGGAAAGGTAACAATTCTGACCACCGTGGGTTTCCAGAATTAGCAAAAGTGAAGTTGGCTGCTGAGCACAGTGGACTCTTACAGAGTACAGATGTTGATTAGTTAAAAGATGCTGGAGTATATTCAGTCATTCCTAATATCTAATACATGACAGGATACGCAGCAACTGCAGGTATCATGGCATAGCCAGCGCCTTGGGGCGTCCTCCTGACGTGAGAGGGATTATACAAATGTAATTGGTTGTTGCGCTGCCACGTGCTGCAAAGTGACTCCAAACTGCTCAAGAGATTCAAGTGTCCATGTCCACCTCATCCAGAAATGTAATTTAGAACGCTGGAGGTTCAGCTATTTGAAAGAGCCAATTTTGTGTCAAACCAGATAAGCTGGTCTTGTCTTAAAACCATTTTTCTTAAAAATGGCTTCTGACAGAATCTGTGAGTTTGAAGAAGCAACATTACCTTAGATTGTCATTGTTTAGTCTATGTTAAGTGACAACTTGCGATAATTCTTTAACACATTTAAAATGTGATAATGATGATCACATTTAAACATAGTGACATTTTCAATACTAACATACTGAAATGTGACCAAATAGTTATACTGTATTTGAATATGACTAGAAATTACACCACACATGATATGGATCAACACTGCTATTCAAATATTTGCTGGTACTTACAACAACTTGTATTTGTATAAGTGCACTTCATGCAGGATATTGTCTTGGAGCGATGGGAGCAAGAGAGAAGGGGAGGAGGAGGACGAAGAGGAGGTGATCATAGTGGTGGGCTAAGTTGTAGATCTTCAGGTGGGATTTAAAGGATTGAGGCAGGGAGTTTCAGAGATTAAAGGCATAGTGGCTGAAGACATGGCCATCGAGAGCTGGGTCTCGCAGCTGCTAACTGCACTGGCTGCACACAAAATCTTTCTATGGAAATTTGTATACCTGCAACATTTGTTTCTTCACTGAAAACAACTATTGGATCTGGTAGAAATAACCCTTAGCATCTCTAAGATCCAGTTGAAATAGTGTAATCTGCTGCACATTATAAATATCTATTCTGTCAAGCCCACCCCTGCTCAAACTAAAACACGGCCATTTTGAAAATTCTGTATTTATCCAACACTGTTCGTCATCACTTCACCTTCTTTTTTGCCACATCTGCTCAAATGCATCTGCCAGCTCAACGTTCGTAATTTCTTCAGAATCCTGGAATTTTAGGAAACCATTCCCACCGTGACCTTAATTGTAAAAAAAAGTACAGCTTAGGTTTTACAGCAGTCTGTTACTGTCTTCAACAAGCAAGTCAGAATTCCCAAATAAAGTTTACACTGTACATGGGCCATGCTGTCCGTACTTATTGAATGCTTGGCACTTGATATCTTCTTGTGTGTGTGAAGACAAGAAAGTGCACCAATCCTCAGCATTGCCACCTCTCACTATAATGTTGTATAATTTGACGGACAATGAAGTAAATAGGTATGATCAAAAGTGGTTGAAACTCCATATACATACCAGTCATATAAATAAGGATATTACTCCTGTCATCTGAAAGGAGACGTTTGGATCGAGGAGTGCTGGGAGGAAGTCGTCCTGTCAACACTCGCAAAAAATTCTCGACAGTAACCTGATGCAAACAATTTTTACAAAGATTAGAAAAGGTTTTATGTCATGTATTTAGTTTGGATTAGAAAAGCTCAAATCCTTTCTACTTTAAACCAACATCTACATGAAGGATAACTTCATACCTCGTAGCCTCGGTAGTCCACCTCCACATCATCTCCATACACATTCAACTCCATGTTTTTGTGGCTGAATACGGTGGCAGGTTTTGGGTTTCGAGGGTTACATGCCATGTCATCTGCCAGCATCAACACAATGTGGCTAAAATTAAATAGGTCAACAGCATCAACTTTAGCTTTGCAGTAAGTTAGATCTAAAGGATTTTACTGTTATTTTCACACCTGGCAATTCATATAATAACAAGTACAGAAGGGTAAAGGTTCTCAGGAACATAGAAACAGGAGTAGAATATTTAGCCTCTCGCTTGAAGCTGCATCCTCTTATTTTGAACTTTCCACCAGAGGGAAGAGTCCTTCTCTATTGAAGTTGTCAATTCCCTTCATTGTCTTAAACACCTCAATAAGATCAGACGTTTACCTTCTGTACAGAGATCACACGCCCAACTCTTACTCATTTTTTATTTACAAATTAAAAATGCAATTTCGCCACATCCGGATGCCCAATTTGCCACATGTGACTTGCAGCTAGCATATTGGAAAACCCTACTCTATACCCTCTTGCTTTGAAATTCCAGAACCACGTGTGATAAACCCCAGGAACCCATTCATCTTGTTGATTGCTTTGTGAACCCGTGAACTAGGTTTTAACAACATGTACTGAATTCAATGATAATAAGGTTTCTATGAAACTCCAGAAGCTCCTGCTCTGGGCTATATCTCAGTGTGTCCAGCAGATCGGAGCACAGGACAATTACATGCCTTTGTAATCTGCTACAGCTCTTAAAACACTCTTTCAAAAACGTGATCTAACTTGAAGTGAAATTGACACCATTCTAAAATTATTACTCCTTTTTGTCTTGTGAAAGTAAAAACAAGCTTAAAATGGGTTTGGAAAATTATAAAGCTCAACACAGCTAAGGCAACATCTTGGCTTATGCTTCAGAGGTCAGAGCAGTATGTTTGCCCAAGATTTAAAACTCAGGTTCAATAGCAGAGCTCTGAAATTAGCGCCAGAAGAAGCGGTCAAATTGAGGTAGGTTAAAAAANGTCAGAACCCGAGCAAAGGGGATTGGTCCTCGGAGAAGTGGAAACCATTACACGAAAAACTTTAAAGCTGCCACTCTTAATAAAACAAAAGAATTTCAAGCTCCAGAGTGTAACATGAGGTTTTCTTTTTGTAATCAAACAGCACATTTTCAGCATTTTCTTTATGGAATGAAACAGACAAGGAACAATACAGCCACTACAACAAATGTTTGTTTTTCTTACCTATCTGGGATTCCTAGTCTTTTGACACTTCTATAAATTGACAATGTATTGGCCACATGGCGATAGTTAAACCAGAATCGAGATGTGCACACCTTGTAACAAATCAAAGAGCAGAGCAATTAAGAGGAGTTCACAGGTAGTGGTTCACATGTAAGGTTGCTTATTTTAAAATAGGAAAAAGATGGCATTTTATCCTCACAAATCATCTTACATTGCTGGAGCAAATGCAGCCACAACAATCAATAATTGTTGTTGTTGTTGAACTCCAATTTGTTGTTATTCCCTACAAAATCTTCATAGAAGAAGGTATTTTAATTAATATATTTAAACTATCTTAGACATTCTGGAATTAAGAAATGCTGAACTACAGATGCTGCAACAAAGGAAAGAAAATTAAAGTGAAGGACTCAGAAAGCCAGTCCCAAGTGGAGGATCAACAACAAAAAGTGCAAGAGATTTAAAAAGGCTGCCAATTAGGTCCCTTAAACATATTGGAATACAGATTAAAAGGACTCTATTCTTTATCCTATTCATTTTATCACAATCAGTTCATGAAAATAATGAAAGTCAGAGCAACGTTAATCTGGCCCAGATGTCAGTGTGATTCTTAAAATGTATAAAGAATTATGATGAGGTTTTCGCTCACCAGCAGCCTGAACCCATTCTCCAGGCAGCACCTGGTTCAGTGACAGCCACAACAGGCTCCATACTCCTATTTGTCACTTTATTGGTTGATATGAGACATCAATTCCCCAACTGACTGATGTAGGACATCAATTTACATAATTCATTAAATATTTATACAAATAGAGACCTCAGGAGAAATTAGGCTATGTGTTAAATATCAATATAAGACAGAAAGTTCCATTATAATGAATATTTTTCCAGTGATGTGAAAAACTCACCAGAATGGCCCAATTATTTGTATGGCCACTTCTGAAAAATTGCTTTGCTCGAGTCTGTATAAATAAAAGAAAAAACAGAAAGAAGTAAAGATTCAGAATACATTTTTTTTTAAAAAAGAGGCTTATAAGGAATATATTACACATTGGTGTTCCCTCTATTTGATCTGAATCACAAATGGAGTTTTTTTTAATTAAATAATTTAACTTTTAAAATTGTAATTCTAAAATTGTATGAGAGAGCTAACCATTTTTCAATTAATGTCACATTCAACTGGTGAGGGTGGGGGCTCAAATTGTGCCCAATTGGAAATTAGTAAAAGGCAGAGAGAATGTTGCTGCAGGCTGATGTATAGATCCATGTGATTAGAATATTTCAGCATCAAAACAACACAATCGACATTTCTGCTGTCACGTGACCAAGTTTCTTGTTCGTAAACAAGTCAACGTAACATTAGTATTAAGCTTACAATGGAGGTTTTGTGCAGAATGTACGAAAATGTGATCCTCAATTTAATAATAATAATTCTTGCATTTTATTTAGCATCTTATCACGTCATCAAGATATCTCAAAGTATTCATATGATTTTTGCTGAAGTACAGTGACTGCATATTTGTAGACCAACACAGCAGCCAAGCACAGTAATGTCCGCAAAACAACCATGAAGTGAATATAATAGCAGTGCTGATTACATGTTAGTTCTTCTGAAGAATTAAGTTGAAACAAACTACAGTATTTTAGGTTTTGTTGCCAATCGAATCGCATCTCATTTGTACCGTGCCAATTCCATTAACTACAACAGCTGGGCTCCCATTGCTCTTTCTAATAACTACAGCAGATTGCTCAAATCTCCTGCATTAAACTAATTGGGAATATTAGAACTCATCCTCGCTACTGCATACATTTTATGAAGTACAGCATTTTGTGGGATTGCGCAATCTTTCAGTTCAATTGATCTGAATGATACAGGACAAAAGTTTGGTACATAACCATTCTTCAGAATCCTTTAATCTTCATTTGGCCCAATCAATTCACTCCAGTGATCTCAGGATTATTGAACGTAACACTGGAAATCCAACACATTCCTGTATTTTTTTCTGCCCAAAAGCATACAAATAATTCACAGCATGCAAAGTAATAATAGTAATAATAATCCTTGCCGTGCATGGATTTCAATTATGTCATTGAAACATCTCAAAGTTCTTCACACGATTTACTGTAAAGTGCAGTGACTGCAGTCTTTGTAAATTAACCCAGTAGTCAATTTATGCACTGTAGTGTCCCACAATCAAACATGAAGTGAATTACCAATTTTATCAGGAGGATTGTAAGACAGGACATTGGGAGTTACTCTGCGTGTTGTTATTGTTTGTGTGTGTTACTGTTTGTTGCTGTTTTGTGTTATTGTTATATATGTTATCATTTACAATTGTGATGTGTGTTATTCTTTGATATTATTCTTTTTGGACACTTCGTTTCTGTTGTGTGTGGGTGTTGTGTTTAATATGTTCAGGGGGGAAAATCACAAGCCCAGACCCTCGGTGGTGCCCATCCCTGTTCTTTCTTTAAACAAACACTTCTTCCCTCCATCATCACATCATCACATTTCTAATGTTTTGAAGTAATTCCTGGAGGACAAAATAACCCGTGATGCAGTCGAAATCCCGATTAAATGTGTTTTACTGTAAAGCAACACGAATCAATGTACCTGAGGAGACTTCGAGTAATAATTATTTGCTGATACTCCAGCAACACCCGCACACAACATCAAACTGAGGCTGGTCCCGTGTGGACTTTAAAGAGAGAAGAGATGGGAGTTGCTCCCGGTGTCTCGGCCGACAGATAAATCCGCTCACCCACTCCCCGGTTGCGTGTGGGGTGCAGATCGCCGCAGTCAAACACAAAAAACGCAGTCACTACACTTCACGGTGAACCCCGTGAACCCGTCCTGAAACGTGCGGACGGCGTAATGACGATGACGACGATGACGACGGTGACAATAATAAATGATAAGAACAATCCTTGCTTTCGAGACAGCGCCCGATCAGGCGCTCGAGACGTCTCCAAGCGCTTCGCGGGCTACGCTGTGAAGTGAAGTGAAGTGACTGTGTGTCTTGCGGTGAAATCAAGTGTCAGGATCATCATCATCATCATCATCATCACTAATCAAATTGAGCCGAAACTTAATCCAACCGTTTCCTCCTCCACCGAATGAGACGGCGGCTGAAGCTCTCCCCCCTCCCTCCCTTCCTCCCTCCCCTCCCCCGTTACAAGGCTGGAGGCCGGATCCCTACCTCCACTTCCCCGATTCCCGCCGTCGCCGCCGCCGCAGACGTGAAAACACCCAATATAAGCAGCAGCTCCCAGGGCGCCGCCATCTTCAGCCACCGGGGGACCGGAAGTTCCGGGTCCGCCCGCAGCCCCTGCACTTTAGTTCCGCCTGTGCTCCAGTGTCCCGCAGCCTCTCCCTCTCCCCCTCTCTGAGCACTGACTTTGCTGCAGCTGCATTTACTGTGAGATCTTTTAACGACAGAACTCGGCCAAATCGCTCATTTTTTTTCCCCCTGTAATTAATTACAATTACAATTACAATTGCATTTTTTTTTAAAAAAAAGATTGTTGTAGGTCACGAAGTGTCTCTGTGGCCAAAGGTCTGTGTGAGCCTTTCCTGAACCTGTATCCAGGATTCCTGATGAATGTTTGGAGAGCCATTTATATATTTTTTTTTGTGTGGGGGGGGGGTTTGCCTCCCTGTCACAATCTGTGTTGATCTTTTCTGCTCAAGAGCAATTGGGGGAAAAAAGGGGTTGTTTGTAGTTGGGTTTATATGAAATGGCAGTATTGTGTAAGCGCCTTTTTCATCGATGGTTTTGACCTTTTGCGTTAACAGATCAACAAGTTGTTCTTTTATTTTTGGGAATATTTGCAACAATGCATAATAAAGCACGCGGAAGTATTTTTAAGTCTCTCTATCGAGACTTAATTTAATCTTCCCTAGTTAATTACGAAGCGCTCCGGGACGCTACCCCTTGCGAAGGGCGCGATATAATACGTAAATGTAAGTTGTTGTAAGAGCATAAGGAGGTATGGAATGCAAAATAGCCCATAAGCCCCCTCACGCTAGCTACCGTATCTCAAATGCATAGCATCAGAATAATGAGAGTATTAAAATATCAGCAATAAAAACAAGGCACTTAAATATTTTAAACGTATTTTTAGTCGGAACTTTTGCCCTGTTCTTCGAGTGCCCCAGGCTACCCACAGCTCTGGTACCTGGGAGCATGTGGGGACGAACGGAGCCCCTGTGTGTTGGTGTGCCATATATCTCATTATCAGGAGGAGTCACTATTCTTAACAATACAATAATAATCCTTATATTTGATGTAGCGCCTTATCACGTCTTCGAGACGTCTCAAAGCGCTTCACAGAATATGCTGTAAAGTGAATTGACTGTATATTTTGTGGGCGACTTGGAGTCACTATTAATAATAATTAAATAATCCTTATGTTTGATATAACATCTTTCATATTAGGAGTATGTCTCAAAGTATTTAGTGGGGTTTACTGTAAGGTGTAGTGACTTTTTTTTAAGGCCTATGAAGATTGACTCAAAATTGCTACAGGTTTTATCCCAAAGTCCTCCAAGAGGCACAATCCACAAGTTTTAGCATGCATTGTCAAACACATTCACTTAGCACCATCAGGACTGCTTTCTACACCTGATGCCTACAAAGATTGACTAATATCAGTCACAGACTTGTTCTTTAGAAAATGGCCTCACATTACTGTTCATCCATTAACAACTTTTGCACACAAAGCGCTTCGCAGAGTATTCTGTAAAGTGAATTGACTGTGTATTTTGTAGGGGTAAATAGTACACCTACCAAATATAGTTGCCACATTTTACAGTAAATCCTGTGAAGCACTTTGAAACATTCTCCTGACATGAAAGAGGCTATATTGGAGGATTTTTTTTATTGAATTAGGGAGTAAAGTTGAAGAAGGTGGAACAAGAATACGGATTTTGTGCTGAGACTCAGTTTGACATTGAATAAGTGGGATATTATTCCAGAAGGCGCTGGTTCCAAATCCCTGACAGCCAGGACTGAGCTGCAACCAAGATAGGCTCAGAACAATATCCAAAAGACCATTCCCAGTCCATCTGATCGCTGCAGTAATTCAGCCGAATTACCAACCGGGATTGGCTGACACTGTTTATATGCCTTAGAAATAACAGTAGGTGGGAGATCAGCTCCATTAAAGAGTTGTAGAGAAACGTTTCATCTTGAGATAGTTTGTGGTAAGTCATTTTTAGTTAGACACAGAAAAGAACATATTTATTTATTAAGCAGTGTTTATTTTTTTAAAAAAGCAGGTGCTTTAATCATTTAATAATAATAATAATAATCCTTGCATTTGATATAGCGCTTTTCACGTCGGGAAGACGTCCCAAAGCGCTTCACAGAACACACTGTAAAGTGAATTGACTGTATATTTGTGGGCGAACGCGGCAGCCAATTGCGCACAGCAATGTCCCACAAACAGTCATGGATTGAAAATGACCAATTTATTATTGTTTTGTTTTTTGGAGGGATTATTATTAGACGTGTGGAGTAAGGAAACTTGCCCAAGGTTTCGCCCTCTGCCTGGAATTGAACTCAGGTCTCTCGCTTGCAAAGCGAGTGCTCTAACCCCTGAGCTACTGGACTCCAAGGCAATGAGCATAGAGCCCATTAAATACTGCAGGTTTCTCATTATAAAGTCTATACTGTGAGTGAGTAAAGACTGATCAGAGAGAGAGAGAGAGAGACTGCCACACCTCTTTGGGGAGCATTTTTACCCCCAGGTGTCATCCACTGATGCTTGGTTAATAAGATCGTTTTAATTGGATTATTCTATTGTGAGCAAAGGTCTTGAGGTTGCTGCAGGAACCACAGTAACAGGTTACATTTGCAGCAATGCCACCAGTAATTCCAGGCTTCACTGTCAATAGGGGCTGAGCAAAGTGGGTGGGTAAACACAAGAACTGGGTGAAATGGACCCAGCAAATCAGTGAGGAGGAAAAGGCTGGGTGTTTGGAATCCAGTTTGCAGTCAGCTCCAATGCCCATGTGAGAGAGCTCACTCTTTATCATCACTGCAGCCCATAGCCATCGCGGTGTGGTTCCTGTCCACTCGTTAGGATCGCGATCCTCAAACCCCGCAGAGGTGTCTGAGCCACACGCAGCGAAGGACATGAATACAGCCGAGGCGAAGGAGTACCTGTCCAGGAGAGAGATCCCACAGCTGTTTGAGGTATGATCCAGAGGTGCTATCCCCACTGGGAAAGGCTGAAGGGAAGGAGAAGAGCAGACTGGGGTGGGTGGGCTTCACTGTATCTTCATATCCCTCAAAAATAAGTTAGGATGTTTCAGGGGAGAAACCCCCCCCCCCACCAACCCCCCAAAAAATCTGAGCTCAATCCCCTTCAGAGGTCCACTCGATAGGTAATGATACCCTTGGCTCTAATTTAACGCAGTGGGAAACGTTGCCCCCCAACGAAAATCGTGTTTGCAAATGATGTATTATTATTTTATCGTCTGCAATGCAATTGTGGCTTGTTGCCAGGATTTGAAATGTGATATTTTTTTTTTAAAAAAAAGCTTTACACCAGTACTATCCTTCCCTTCGTAACGTGTCAGTGTGCGATCTCAAGTGCAAATAACACATTGGACGCAAGTTTCAGTGTTGACTCACTCGTGGGTTTATTAGTGAGAACAGGAACATAATGTGAGGGGTCTTTATCTGCAGGTCTCAGCGAGGGTTACGTCTCAAACCCTAACCTGACATTCTGTTTGCTGACCTCTGTAGATTTCTGTGTTTTCTCTGTTTATCTTCGATTCCCCCCAAAAGCTGGAGTTTTTCGGGTTTTTTTTTAAAAAAAAATCTCCCTAATGGCACAACGAGTAAAGAAAGCTGTGTTAATCAGAACAGCGATTGTTAGGCATTTGTTTGCAGTTGCATTTGCAATCCTGCAAATTGTTTTTTTTTAACAGTGACTGGAAGCAAAGACAGGGTTTTGCATGTGCAGTAATATGGAAGAAGGTCTTAAGAGGCAAGACTGTCGATTCTAACCAACCCAATCCCACAACAAAGCTGTTTATTTTCACCAACCCTAAACTATTAAGTACATCAATTTAGAACAAGAGGTGTGCCTCATAAAATTTTTCTTTCTAAGCAAACCTATTGCGATTTAGGAACGTTTTGTACTTGTATTCTATCACTGTAGTGATAGACAGAAATGCACATCGTCTTTGCATCACCTAAACAATAAATTAGGTTCATTGTAATTTTTTTTATCTTTTTTAAAAAAAAACATCCTAGTTGAACATTACAATTTTCCAACTGAAATGATTTTCGCAAGAAAAATATTCATATCAAAGAATTTTGCAATGAATCAATGGAACACAATTCAGTCACTTGAGGCTGTCAGTGTTAAATACTTTAAAATTACTCTTTTGCCAGTTTACCTGGAGATTCAGCATTTTGATCTGACAATGTGACCAGAAAATATGAACGTTGCATGGTAAAAGATTTTTGTTTGATTTTTACATCTAATATTTTTGTGTTTCTCTCCTGGGAACATTGCCATTGATGCTAATTGGGGGTATCATTTCCAACTTTTGATTCCTCGCTCAGGTGACCATACCTGTATGAGCTGAGACAGTGAGTGTTGGCAGGCAATCTGACCACATAGGGGTATTACAATTAAACCCAATTCTACATTCACCGGACATTCACCGAAATGCATTTTACCTTAGAGGGTGGTAATAATAATATTAATAATAATAGTCCTTGCATTTGATAATAGCGTCGTTGAGACATCTCAAAGTGCTCCACAGAATATACCATTAAGTGAATTGACTATAAACTTGGTGGGCGAAACTGATTAATTATCAAAAGTCAGATACTTGGTGTTTTTTTCTTTCTTGGCTCAGGTGTTCTGAGCCCACCTGTAGTGCTCCAGTGCCTCACTGCTGAGTTCAAGCTAAGCTAATATAGTCCAGGGACTGAATCTGTTTCTTACTGAGTGCTAATGACTTAGTGTCACTATAGGCACAGATTACTTCATCATTTGTTTCATGTGGGGAGCTTGTAACAAAAGTTTAGTATTGCCAAACACAGGTGATATATAACAAATGGAGACCTAATGAAAAGGATGGGCCTTTAAGAAATGGCGACAACAAACTCACATTAAACGTGACAGAATATATTGTATAATGTTAGTGCAAAACAAACATTAACATTGGTCAAATAAAAAGTAGATGTTGGTGGAGACATAGAGTCATAACTTACCCAAGATTTAACATGTTGAATTTGATTTATTGAGATCGTAACCACCACATTTTACAAAGGCTATTGTTTATCGAGGTAAACAAGTTTCCTTTCTTCATTAATCCTGACCCTGGTGATAAAAATGCTGCCGAGAAAGCAGCCAGGGTATTGGCCACTTGCATTACGTTGCTGAAATCTTTATTTGGAGATTCCTATTATAAACCCGGCAACATCCCATCACCTCTTATTTGTTCGATGATCTTAATTTAATTCCGCAGCTGTTTAGGGAAACCATGTAAGAGTGGACAGGAATGTCATCAAAATTACTGTTCACATTTCACCATTGAGCTTAATCTATCTGTGCTCATAAGTCATTTCTAGGATTTGTCAATTTACCAGGGAGAGATGTCACATGGACATCTTGTTTGGACAGGGACAGTATAATATTTTATTTATTCAATTCCAATGAGATTCAGCATTTGTATAGTAAATGGAAGAAATACAGATCATTAAGAGCTGCAGAAGAAAATATTATCACTTGAATCTCTGTAGTGCTCAATATCAAATATTTCTGCTGCTTTTATAATTTTTTCTTTTCTCAATTTACTGTATTTCATAATTGAACAGGAGAGATTTTTTTTGGGGGGGTTACAAAGGGGTTTAGATAAATGTTTGTGACTGAGTGTAAATAAAACATCTTTAACTGTGGGCAATATTGTACCATCAGCAGACATAGTACTGAGCAGATGCTGACCTGTATCTGATCAACTACAAATATTGGGAATTACACTGACATAAATAGAGACATCTACTAATGGATTCGTTATCTGCAGTTGTTAAAAACTGTCCATCTGCCCTGAAACAATACCACAATTACACCTATTGTGATTAAGTAAGTTTAGAAACAGAGCTTTACCCTAAGGGCAAGGCTGTTGCTCAATACCCATTTCACAATACATATACTGTTTATAGAGTAGAAATTTAAACTCAAATTATTCATTGCAGGGAACACCAGGTGGGATTTAGGAGTGAGAAGGGAAGGCAGTTCAATCATTTTTACAGAAAGCAAGGGTAATAGAATGGTGAAGTAGATTGCCAGCAATGATTGTTGAAGGGAAGTGTATAAATAAATTCAATGCACAACAAGATATACTTCTGGACCGAAAAGAGATTGAATGTTATTGGAAGAATTTGGGTGAGTTCAACTGAAAGGGAATAGACTTATTGGATCTGATGGCTTTGCTCCTATCCTAAAAATATTTGCATTTTTATATACATTTTAATTATAATCTGATGGTGACCATGTTAATTGCTGCTTTCACTGTCACAATGCTTTTTTTTAGTTTTACAGGGTGTTTCCTCTGTACCCATGTTGTGTTTATGTGCAAATTCAAATTCAGACTTGCTGAATAATAATAATAATCCTTGCATTTGATATAGCGCTTTTCATGTCGGGAGGACGTCCCAAAGCGCTTCACAGAACACACTGTAAAGTGAATTGACTGTATATTTGCGGGCGAACGCGGCAGCCAATTGCGCACAGCAATGTCCCACAAACAGTCGTAGATTGAAAATGACCAATTTATTATTGTTTTGTTTTTTGGAGCAATTATTATTATTAGGCATGTGGAGTAAGGAAACTTCTCCAAGGTTTCACCCTGCCTGGAACTGAACTCAGGTCTCTCGCTTGCAAAGCGAGTGCTCTAACCACTGAGCTGCAGGACTCCACTGGAGCAGAGTACCTGGATTACACTCTAGGAAATTGATGACTTGCTCTTTGATGCCCCAGCAAAATCTCTCCAAGTCCGATGCTAACAGCATCAATAAGCATCAAACTCAAAAGACATGTGCCTCATCATAGTTTCTGACTGTATCCTGTAGTTACTGCACTTAGCACACAAAAAAAGGTCAAAACACACCATGAAACATTAACTCAAAATTGACACCTTAACCTTGCAAATTGATCGTTTTACTGCCCACCACAAGGGATAATAAGTCTTGGCAGTCCAATGGTACAGAAAATAATTTATTTGATTTTTGTCAATAATAACTTCTTCAGTTAAAGTTAATGTGCTTTAAAGTTATGGAAACATAAAACTGTAGATAAAATTGGTTATTGACTTCATGGCTATTTGTGTGACTTTGTTATGTGCAATTTGGCTGCCACATTTATCTATAAAATACACAGGCAGGACACTTTACATTAAACCTGGGAAATGATTTGTGACAACTTTCTTTTGATTGTGCCTCAAGGTGAAAATTATTGACCCAGACCTATGCCTTAGAAGATTAAAGCAGAGTTTTATATCATCAAAAGAGCAGCAATGAGAAATGAAAAATGGCAGAATTGACCTAACCAAGTTACCACTTCACATCATTTATTATTGATGGGATTTATTGAAGTTGTTTATTCTGGATTTTGACTTGCAGAGCATGCTTACTGGGCTGATGTACTACAAACCTGATGATCCTTTGGAGTATTTAGAGAAATGTCTGAAGAAGGTGAGGGAGTTGGGTGGACCCGAGAAAGTACGATGGGACACTTTTGTTGCTCAAGAAAAGAGGGCATTACCTCCGTTAAATGGTGGTCAGGGAAGGAGATCATTCATCAGGAATGGTAAAGTGTTACTTTCATTTCTTTTTTATGAAGATGACGAGACTGTGGGTGAACTGTCCAAATATATTTCACTTGAGACCTAGCAGCCCTCAAAAGAGGAAGCAGACACTCTGTTTATGCTCAAACACTGAGCTAATTTGTAAAGACCATTCCATTTATACTGCTTGGTCATTTCATTAGCAAGGGGAATAATGCTTTGCTTGCAGTGATTAAAAAAAACACATGGCCTGCTTCATGGCAACCCCCAAAAGAAAAACAAGTTTCTCTCTTTCACAAAAAAAAGCCCTGGCTCTTACTTGTGTTGTAATTTCAGTGACTATGTAAAATTAAACTTCTTTTAATTAAAAAGGTAAATCGCACTGCAAAATTGCCCCAAAAAGGCAGAGAACAATATTCAGAGAAACTCAAATCAGTCATACAGTGGATAAATAATAGTTCTTTATCTGAAATCTTTGTTTTTTTGTTTGTTTTCTGATGTCAAACATTTATTCCATTAAATAAAAGATCTTATATCACAGTAGGTTATAATCATAGTAACCCCTATGAAATTACATATAAATTATCCATCCCACAAAATAACATGTAGCTGAAGAGCTACATTGCAATAATATCACTATTTCTAGGATCCACTTGTGAAAATGTAAAGGCATAGTCTCACAGTTTTGGTGAATTTCTTGTGATCTTCAAGGTGAAGGATATCAATGTTGTGAAATGGTTTGATTAATAAATGTGCACAAAAGAATGTTATTTACTCTTTTTTTTGTTCCCCTGCCATTTCTGATTGCAGTTCTGCCAGACAGTCCCAATTTCCCTTACCGACGCTTTGATCGTCTGCCCCCCATTCACCAATTTTCTATTGAGAGTGACACAGATCTGTCCGAAACAGCTGAGCTTTTTGAGGAATACACGGTGTTTGACCCAACCAAACCCCGGCCACGGATCATACTAGTAATAGGTAACCTTCAGCAATATCAAACATCACTATGATGAGCGTCATGTTATTTTATGCAATAAAGTCTTAAAATATGTTTGAAAATATGTTTAATATTGTATCAGACTTTTCATTTCATTTCTAATCTTGATTTCATTTCTAATCTCTCCAGCAGCTACTAGTTATAGTGAGTCAAATTATTTGTCATTTCTTTAGATCCAATTCTTTATAAATTCCAGATACATTTTAGAATTAAAATATGACTCACATTGATAGCTTTTCTAACGGGAAGAAGGTATTTTTAATTGTCATTGGGTGTCCAGTGTATGTAAGGAGGACCTGCTGTTGACCGTTGTACATTATGTACAGAAATAGTTGGACACATCCTTTCAAATTTTTAGACTTCTAAGAAGTCCACATTCAGGCCAAACTGTTTTTACTTATGTATTTTGTCCATAAAATATTATCTACACTGGTCTATGTAAAAATCATCTGACATGAGATAATAATAATAATAATAATAATCCTTGCATTTGATATAGCGCTTTTCACGTCTTCTCAACGTCTCAAAGCACTTCACAGAATATACTGTAAAATGAATTGACCGTATATTTGTGGGCGAAACACGGCAGCCACACGGCAGCCAATTGCACACAGCAGTGTCCCACAAACAGTTGTGGATTGAAAATGACCAATTTATTATTGTTTTTGTTTTGGAGGGATTATTATTAGGCGTGTGGAGTAAGGAAACTTGCCCAAGGTTTCACCCTGCCTGGAATTGAACCCAGGTGTCTCGCTTGCAAGGCGAGTGCTCTAACCACTGAGCTACAGGACTCCTTGAAATAGTCTCGAAATACAGCAGAGATAATGCAGTTAAACTTACTCTTTTCCTCTTTTAGGTGGACCTGGCAGTGGGAAAGGCACTCAGAGCTTGAAAATAGCTGATCGTTATGGATTTGAGTACATTTCAGTGGGAGAGTTGCTGAGAAGAAAAATGATCCAAAATACCACCAGTAACAGGAAATGGAGTTTGATTGCGAAAATTATAACCAATGGAGAATTAGCACCGCAGGTAAAAATAACTACTACTAAATCTAATGTAATATTGTATAAGCAATGGCAAATTGTTTTGCTAAGCACTTGAGCTCCTTATAAGCTTTTCATTTCTCCTGAGCGCTGCAGTCCACAAACATGTATCAATCAACTTTCATCTAGATAAATTCTAGTTTAAATCCTAATGCATACTCAAGATAGAAAACCATATGTGCTGCAGTGACCCAATTCAAATTCTTTGGCAAGCACATTCTCCATAAAGTGGGTTTACCTTAACACTGCTTTGCCAATGTCTTTAAAACAGCTTCTTTTTCTCAGTGGATTTGAATGATCGTGATTTACACTGCAGCACTATTATTTGAACATAAGAACATAAGAAATAGGAGCAGGAGTAGTGCAATTTGTTTCTTTGAAACTATATCTTAAATTGTGCTGAAATGTTGCAAGTTATTGCAATAACTATGTGTTAAAACTAAATTCAAATATTCAGTCTATGTACGTGTCAGAAATGAATTAAAATATCTGTATAATATTAACAGAACCTCAATAAATGTACTCCAAAATGACAAATATTGGTCATGTTGTTCAACTGTATAAGACTATATTGTATCAGCTAAACATTTACCATTCCCAAGTTCAAACTGAAAACATTTACATGTAACAACTTAAGAATTGTTTTATGTACATTTAAAGCAACATGCAATAATAATATCTCAGAAGATACATTTCTTTTGAAGGAAACAACAATTACTGAGATCAAGCATCGTTTAATGGAGCTCCCTGATGCCCAAGGTATTGTCATTGATGGATTTCCAAGAGATGTTGCTCAAGCGCTGTCCTTTGAGGACCAGGTATGGACCCTTTTCTGTTTAAAGCTGATGTGATTATTTAAATATCGAACGTCCACCACTTGCTTTCTGAATATTTGGTAGAAATTAAATACGTGAATGCTGGAAATCTAAAATAAAAATAGGAATTTATTAAAATCCACAAGTCAATCACTACCTGAAAGAGAAAGATAGTTTACTGTTTCGAGCATAATTCTTCATCAAAAAGGAAACTCAGTTATAGGTTTACTATATCAGGATGAGCCCTCAGGGTTCAGTAACATGAAAATGCCACTGTATGATGTTATATACTTGTCATATAACATCATGTAAAATATCAGTAATTTATTGCATATTCACTTGTAATTCACTTATAATTCCTCACTTACTTGTGTTAAATAAAACTAATGGCACGTTCAAAATCCCCCAAAAAATTTATCTTAAGATAAGGAAGATGATTACAAAATCTTACTAATGCATTTGTGACCTTTCTCAATACATAACAATAAAAGTAAAATAAATTGGTTTATAATCTTGATCTTAGCATGTTTTACCCTAGTTGCTCCTATCTGTTATCAAATTTCTTATTCATTGAATGTATAATAACTTGTATCTGAACATTTGTGGTTGAATGATCTGAGGAATATGTATTGCTGGTCGCTTCTAGGCAATTTGTAGAAACTGTAATCTAAAATGAACATTTTGATAAAACTAGTTATGAGTTTATCGGTAATCAACTTATTATTATGGGAAGCAGATTGTTTAGTTCATGTGACAAAGATACAGGACGACCTCTGCTTCTGATGGGTTTTCAGAAAATGAGCATTTATGGGGTCAATTGAACCTTGTATTCATATGGATCACAAAGCAGTAATCTAAACAGAGTGGTTTTAGATCACATTGTGAACCGTGCGAGAAAAAGCATGCTATCTAAACTTGAATATTAAATCCTAACCTTGAAGTCAGCCCCTATTAATTATTTTTTTAAAAATCCAATTTTCTGTGTGGAGTTCTGCGTTTTGGTCCTGTCTTAAACAGCTGTTTAAGTGTTCTCAATGTTCTTGATATGTCGTAATGTGCCCAGAAGAAATCTGATGGCATCTGGCACATCATTAATGCAGGATTATGGAGAAACACAGCCAATGTTCAATTCACTGCCAGATACCTAATTTTAATCTGTGAAGGTATAATTAAAATAAAGAGAAATCCTTTCAGTAGTCAGTACTTCACGTCAGTAACACTGCAAGTAATCTCAACACTGAAATTTCTCAGATAAATTATGAAATAATAAAACAAGAGATATCAACTTGATTATCTGCGAAAAAAACATTCTCTTAAGAACTTTATTCAGTAATCTCAATCATCCACTAAATCACTGCTGGAAATATTTCAAATTATAATAACTTGCAATTGTTGCAATTGGGTTCCGTGGATTGAGTTAAGAAAAATCTATTTTAAATTGAGTTCAGGTTATTCTGACAATTATGATAATGTTTTGTACAGTTCTACAAATCTCTTCTTGTTCGTTAGGAACCTATTTAAGATATTTTCTACCCCCAGGCCCCCCCCCAACCCCAGCCAAGATATATAAAATGAAATAAAATGAAAATAAAATATAAAAAACATTTATATTTTCCTCATTCCTCTTTATAGTGGCTTTGGTCTAAATGAAACATCAGACGTCATTTACTGAGGAAGTCACATTTATTGTTCTCTAGAGCGCCATTGACTATGAGTAAAAAGGCAACGTTGTGAAAGTTATTCTCAGGCAATGTAAATATGAGCTGTGCGTGCTGATCAATTGCTCCAAAGCCACTGCATACTGGACTATGTTGGCTCATAAACCTGATTCAGATGGTCTCTCTAATCTTTCTCTCTAGATCTGTGTGCCAGATTTAGTGGTCTTCCTAGCGTGTGCAAATCACAGATTGAAAGAACGTCTGGAAAAGCGGGCGGAGCAGCAGGGGAGGCCTGATGATAATCCCAAAGCCACCCAGAGACGATTGACCACTTTCAAACAGAACACGATTCCACTCGTCAAATACTTCCAGGAGAGGAGCTTGATCGTCACAGTAAGTGCTAACTCCTCAACGCTCTCGTCTTGGAAGAATGAGCAAGATTAGGACATTTTGTTTCTTGAACTAATTTGAAAATAAATTGTGTGGTGTATGCTGCTGTTATCAGCTCATTTGCTCAAACATATAATGAAATGCGGATGGAAATGAGTGAAATAAATTCGTTTAAACTATTGCTGCTTGAATACGGAACAGTTTAATAGTTTATTTTGCATTTCATAATGCGATCAATTGCCACCTTGTAAATATAATATGCAGTGTGGACCATAGAGAATGCTAACATCTCATCAGTAAAACCTACCAAAAGGTTTTGAAATCAATAAACGGATTAATTATTGAAATTCATTAAAATTCATAAATGCAACTAAGGATTCAAGAAATTTAAGATACCCAGTTCACTGCTACTATTTAAATACCTTCAGCATTTTCACTGCAATACAATCAGCTCATTTCAACACCAATAACAACTTGAATTCATATAGCGCCCTTAATGCAGTCTAGTGTTTTGGAGCATTTAACAGTGGCAGAGCCTGATGCTGAGCCGGGGAGTCAGGGAGAGGTGACCGAAGAGGAAGGTGTTTCGGGGTCATCTAAAAATGAGGAAGGAGGGGCAAAGCGGAGGGAGCGAGGGAGAGAGTGTTCCAAAGGTGCGGGCAGGGGTGGCTGAAAGCACGGCTACTGATAGTTGAGCAAAAGGTTACGTGGGACAAGCAGGAAACCGGAACCAGACGAGCAGAGGAGAGTATTGGAGTGCAGAGTAAGCAGGTCAGAGAGCTAGGCAGGTACGAGGGCATGAAATAATTTGTAGACAAGTGTGAGGATCTTGAAGTCGATCCATTCTGTGATGCCTGGCAAGGACATGTGTGATGGGGCTGCAGAGCTTAGAATTTTACTCACCACACAGTTGCAAGATCCACCAGCTGCTGCATAAAACTCTGGATAAGATTTGTGGGTCTGAGCAGTAATCCAAACACAATGATTACTGCTCGGCTTGTCAGTTAATCAATAGCAATAGGAAAGAAAGAAGGCGTTTCACTGATGAAAATTACTGAAGTAAATTGAAAAGTATAATTATTCCCGTTCAGTGTGATGGAAAACAATAAACAATGCCAACGGTGCTATTGCTTCATGTCTTTGAATGTGAATATGGGTAGTATATATTGTAGAGGTATGTGGAGTTACAAAACAGACTTTAAACCTGAACAATGTACTTGTGACTAATAAAAATAGAAGAAGACCCCTTGAACATTTAGAGATAAAATATTATAAATACAATAAAGAGGAGATGTAATAAGGTCAGATATATTGTTGGCATTGCATCTGTCCTGCAGAACAATGAGATTTATTGAAACAATTTGAATATTCATTAAACCAATAAGCAAGCAGACTAACTAAAAAATAAATGTAATATGATTGGACAGTTGACCTTTAAAGCAGAAGCTTTGTTTAAAACTACTTCTAATAAATAATAAGTCACCTCCTGGTGAAGAGGACTGTTCTTATTATCAGTAGAGCAATTAAATAGGTGCTCTTCCCAGCAAATTGTTACCTTTTACATATAGATCACTGCATAAAATCAATAATGGGATTCTTTGAAAACAAGTTTATTTATCGGAGTAAATAAAACCAAGAGCATGATTGTAAATGTTATAGACATTCCCTAATATGTCTAGTCAGATCACAGAAGGCCAGAGATGTCATGGCACACAATATTCCGCGACAGGAATAATGATTCTGGTGCTATGAGTCTCAGTTAAATATTTTTAGAAATTGTTTTGAAAATATTACCATCAGTGATACATTGGTGATGTATTAAAACATTCCAGCATCAGGAAAATATCATTCAAAATGTAAAGTTCGGTATCATCTTTCTCTCTGGTGTCCTGGCAAAATTCCCCTAAATAAAATTGGCTATTCACTTCAAGGATGCTGTTCACTTGGCTACTGTGGTCGCCTGCAAAATATACAATCACTGTATATCGCGTGAAGTGCTTTGAGACGTCCTCCTGACATGAAAGGTGCTATATCAAATCCAAGTATTATGATAATTATTCTTTATTAACGTTTAAACCCATTTGGTACAAAAGCATCTTATTCTGCAGCAAACCATAACATTTCCCATCTCTGTTGAAAGAAGTTCAATCAGCAACAATTGTAGCAAAGTTGTAAAAATATTTCTCCGTCGAACAAAATAATATTGAAAGATTTAACCCAACATCATCGGTGTTTCCAGTGCTGGCAGAGTAAGTCTATTTTCTGATATGAATTGGCCGGTTAATGAAGGTCAAAAGACACTACAGTATTTACATTTTCCCATCCAGTTTTAGACATTTAGGACTGTTATTTGAAGCTATTTCAGTACCAATATTAGACATTTTCCATTCCCCCTCTCAGTGGTTGAATTAAGATAAACAGGGTTCATGGCAACTTACAGTTTGAGTTTATCTTGATTTATTACCAGGGTTCACATCCGCTGTACCCTGAGAAATGTCATCAACGTGATGGCGGACATGATATTAAATGTTTCCAGCATTTACGCAATCTTGTTTTCTTTATACCAGATTACTCACCATAATGCTTTATGACAGTATTGCAAAAAGGTCTGCTGCATAGCGCATAGGAACAGTACTGTGGAGATGCTACAATTTGCTTTGGAGTATTTCCAGAACACTGGAATTATCAACAATAAGGCCCTTCTAAAGGAAGGAAGGAAGGAAGGGCCAAAGGAAATGAGTTGAAAACAGCCTTCAATGTAATTTACAGAAACCATTTGAAGGTTTATGGTTAACAATGTCTCTGGCTCATAGTTTGATTTCCCAGCTTTGTCTTCGTCACGTTAGCTTTCTTTCCTGTCTCCAAATTATCTGCTGGCGTTCGTGTTTGTGTCTTTGCTGAAGTGCTCCTAAGTCACAGGGGTTTGCCTTCGACAAGTACAGAGCATTGAGAAGCAAAGTTCAATGTTGAGGGAGAAAAATATTCTTGATGCAGTGAATGGGATCAGGCCCATTGGTTCCTTCTGGCTTTCCAAAATTTTTTTAAAATCATTCCACCTTAACTGATTTTGCATTCCCAAATGACTCACTTTTTATAGATAGCCATTTTCCAATTAAGTTTGCAACTTCAAATTGCATTCTTAACAATCCAGATCCTTAGTCTGCAGTTTTCAGTTGTTCCGCTCCAGTGGAGAGTTTCCTGTTGTGCTTCATGAAGGGTAGACTGATTTGTGTTCTCTGAAGGGAATTTCATTTGCTTTCCTGTTCAATGTATTTCTACATGGTACTATTCACAAACGTAAACCTACTACTAAAGAGTTTCCTTTCATTTATTTTGAGCAGTTTGGTTCACATTCATTTCAAGTTCTTAATAAGTTAACAATATAACTGGTTAGAGAGAATTTATGACTGAAACCTCTTGCTCAAGTGTCCTTCAGCTGCAGTCGCGTATGGAAAGTATTTATTTTTCTTACTACCTTCAAAGTGATAGCTTTCTTTTTCATACCTTGTTGTGATCGGCTAAACAGTTCCTATTTCCTAACATTAGCTGGGTCATGCTCACTTTACTATTGACTTCAATAATGATCTTAGCTGCTGGTACTTTTATTCAAGCTGATCACCTCGCCAATTATTGTTCACCAGTTAAAGCAACTGGGAATTCAGTAGTTGAGTTTCACCAGGTTTGCTGACGCAAGCAGCATTGGGCGCACAAGGATTCTGCTCTTTCAGTTGAATCCACCAGTTTAATTACCTCCTGTGTAGATTTTCATACTGTGGTTTGACAAGTTGAATAATGTCTGTGTGTTTAACAACCTTTAAAGTTCTTGACTCCTGTGTATTGATGCTTTTTATTTTGACTAAATGGTTTGATACTGCAGCATAGACTTAAAGGCATCCACTTCCCACAACAATTAAAGGCACAGAATTTCGGCAACCTCAAATTAGTTTAATCAATTAAGCAATAATTATCTGTTGTTCAATTTAATATTTAAATTATGAACAAGTCTGGAATTTCCATGTATGGGTGGGATGCATGGAACTCTCAGTTTGGGTTGGATATTCTTAAGCCTGGTGATGGGTTTCCGCATGTGTCAGTCACTTGGCTGACCTAAAAATGTTTTTAGGATAAATAAAATCAATGGTTTCTGCATTCATAAACCTCTGCTTGTTTTTCCCAATACAAAATAATCCTTAACAGAACTAGTGCAATGTTCCTTCACTTCTGGAACCATGCTATGACTTGATAGAGAAACATAAATAAAACACACAATGTGCTATAAGTATCACTTGTCTATACATTATTTTATAAGGAAATTAGATAATGCTGAAAAAAGAATAATATTCAAGGGTTTGGGGAGAGAGCAGGAAAGACGGATTAGACAAGGTTGTCTGGGCGATGCTTCATGTACAGATCTAGTGGTGCTTGCATTTCAGAGTAAACTGGAGTGCTTACTGTCTGCAGCCATTATAATCTGGTTCACAAATATTCTATTCAGCTGCTTGAGCAGAGTCTGAACCAAAGGAGTCAGACTATTGCCAGTAGGCAAGTGTGTATGCGGTATTCATGTGTGTTTTGAAGTTAAGAAGTCATGATGTCCAACAAATTCTGTAACATTATGTTAGAGTTGACACAATGCAAATGTAGCGTGAAACCACTGCTTTGAGTGGGTCCAGCTCATTCGGCACAGTTGGGAGTGTTACTGCAACGGCAGGACTACATAAAATTTTCAGTGTTGCAATTGTAATTAGAGTAATGTTAATGCAGCACTAACATTCAAGTACAATGGAGGGTTAGCTTTAATCTTGGCTAGGCTATCTAGCAGAGAGGTAAATTCACAAGGAGGTCATTTTGCACACTTTGCAGTAAGTCAACTGAGACGCTAACACAGCCAACCTCCTCAGGGAAGTGCATGTGATGACATTTCCTTTCTCAATGTACATGACTTGCCTTAGGGCAGAGAAATAATAGAAAAAAAACGACAAGGTAGAGTAACTTTAAAATTCAGCATTTTTTCCTATGATATTATTACCTGTTTCTGTAGATTTAATAGATGAATCAATTCAGAAATATAGGCTGTTTAGCTAAAGAAAGCCTGATCGTTTCCTTCACAATGAATATAAAATGCAAGCACATAATGCAAAATTATTTATTACAGAAATAAAAGCGTTTATTATTTTTAAAAAATAAGACATCAAAAACACAACAAGCATAATATCGGATTTGTTTGTAAAATGTAAACAAAAAATTAAAATTGAGGATCATTTCAAAACTGTGCTCATCTATTATAAAAGATAAAAGCAATATCAACCAACAGCTAACAAATTCACCAAAAGATGTCCTCTATAAAATGGTTTCCTACACAGGTCATTCAATTCCACTACACTTCTTTGTTATTGAATTGCACCTGCAATTGTAATTGGTTGGGTGGGAGTTAAAAGATGACAAATCAGGTATGGAATCATGACAATAATCCTTGTTTGATGCATTTGATGATCTCAGTTTGGACATCATATAATTTATGTTGGTACTGCTGCAGGTGTCTACACCATTTCACCATTTTATGATCCAGAATAAAATTGTTTTTCACTTTATGTTTGGTAAATGGTAACATTATATTTTCAGTAATGTTTCTGAACTGAACAAGATTATCAGAAGATTGCTCATTTTATAGTGGCTAAATAATTAAGAAATTATGAATGAAATTTGATTCAAGTTTTGCATATTTCTATCATTTGAATCACTTGTGAAGTATAATTGGTTAATCACTGGCAGTCAGATATTAAAATTGGAGCAGTACTACCCACATCGATAAATATTACTTAATCAAAAACATTTACTGTCTATTGAAAGGTAAAATATTCTTGTATTTTTATTCTATAAAGGAAAAACACTTATGTTTATTTAGCACGCAGAAAAGTAAAAGTTTCTCCAAATAATCCACTTATATAAAGCTGAAGCACTGCAATGACATTTAGCTCTCCAATGAATTGCTATAAAGGGCAATGGCTTGGAACAGAAAAATGTCTATCATATAGTAGTTAATAGGCTTTCTTCACTCTGCTTTTTCTCATTGAAACTGTGACATAAATGTTGTAGTTGTCTCGGGGGAACACAAGCTGAACTGCAGCGCTCAGGTGGAAACTAAATTTAGCAGCAGCTGGGAATACTGTATGCTGCTCTGTTGAAACTCCCAGAGGTTTACATAATAATAATCTTTGCATTTAACATAGCATGCAGGTAAAAACACAATAACTGTTTGCAAAGCTTCCTGTATTGCAAAGCAACTTAACCAACACAAAGCAGAATGCAGAGTTAATATAAAAATAATCTCTGCTAAACTGTGAAGTGTAAGAATTTTGCTCCTGTATGTGCTCCTGTATAATCCTTATGTAAGTCTAATGATATTGGTTACCTCTTCCTACTGTTAATTTAATGTTATTCAGTGAAGATTATACCTGTGGATGAATCAGCTAGGCACCATGTGTATCTTTATCAACCTCAAACTAGTTTTGCTGTAAGTGCAAATTTACATATCACATACGACTGATACACAACCTGTGCAAACTAAACCAATCTTAACGGCTATCAACATGATTTGTTTTCTGATTTTAAACCCAGCTTGATGCAGACAGGGATGAAGAGGAGGTTTTCTATGATATAGCTGTGACTGTTGACAACAAGCTCTTTCCCACTAAGGAACCAGTAGCAGGTGAGCCACAAGCTATGTATGTATATTTTCTATTCATGTGGGAATATGGTAAGTGGAAATGCCGGTGACAAGAACATTGGTGACAACACTAAGTCGGATGTGTCAACAACACTAACATAACCCTGAGAGGTCATGCAAAAATCTATGAAATGCTAATGTTATTTTACAGCTTCTTATATGTGCCTGATAGAAGTGTTCCTCACACGTATCCTGGTAACTGCTACTGCATTGCAAATCAAGTGTCTCTGCCAGTAGACTTTTAGACCTCCATAAACAGTAAAACCTACAGCACCAGTATATAAAAAAAATCCAAACAGCTTAAGAACATGAGAACACAATAATTGTTAGATGAAAGTAGACCACGGTTCATCCAGTTCGCCTTCCACCAACCTGGTAGTTGCATGCACACGTCATGTCCCAAACTATATATTTCCTAAAAGAAATTTATTTAATTTGCTTTTGAAAGAATCAACATTTTCTGATCACACCATCTTCCAAGGGAGCCTGTTCCACTTACAACTCGCTCACTCAAATAGTGTTTCAGCAGGTCTGCTTTGAATTTCCCCCCCTTCAATTGCAGGCGATGTTCTCTGGTTCCAGTGTTCTGGGCAATATAACACAGCTTATCATGATCTACGTTATCCAGTCCCTTTAGAATCTTAAAAAACACAAGCATATCGTCTCTCAACCTTCTTTTTCCACCTTCATCAGGATGAATAGATTTCTGTACAGATGTAAACACCAGTGATTTGAGTTCATTCTTTGAAATACAAAGGACAATGTTTCTATGTTGTGGCACATTGGAGCAGAACATTCAGTGTCAGGGCACTGGGGATCATTGGCTCCAATCCTTTTTAATGATTACAAATGCTCTGCTACGGTGATACCCCCAATATTAGGTCAGATTCTGAAGATCAGTTAATTACATTCTGCTGTACCTTTTTTTTGCCGATTCATATCCTGTTCTGAAATACAATACCATTTCTATCATAATAATATAAGTCTTGCCTTTGATATAGTGCTTTTCATGTCTTCTAGATGTCTCAAAGCGCTTCACAGAATATGCTGTAAAGTGAATTGACCGCATATTTGTGGGCGAAACGCAGCAGCCAATTGCGCACAGCAGTATCCACAATCAGTCATGGATTGAAAATGACCAATTTATTACTGTTTCTTTTGTTTTGGAGGGATTATTATTAGGCGTGTGGAGTAAGGAAACTCGCCCCAGGTTTCGTCCTGCCTGGAATTGAACCCAGGTGTCTCGCTTGCAAGGCGTGTGCTCTAACCACTGAGCTTCAGGACTCCACAGATTCATCTAATCTTCATAGACTATTAGTGTCCCTCTCTATATTATTCCATGACTTTGAAATAGAAATGGAAACATCATAGGCATTGTATACCTCTGCACAAATCACCAATTTCATAATCAGCACATTCAAGGGACAGGTTAAAGTACAAAGGAGTCTCAGAATCGTTGACGAAATGATTGAAATCATTGTGTGGGGCAGTTTCACTAAAAATTCAGAACATTCTTCACAAAGCTTGTCAAGTGTTATACATCCAATTGTAAATCGCTGTAAGGAAAGCTGTTGATGTTTAAAAGATGTAAGAAGATTTGTATAATACAAAGTTTTCTTTTGTCTTTTTTTCTAAAAAGACATCAGTTGTGAAATGGAACTGTGAACATTTCATGAAAGTAGAGCTTTCAGTCAGAGCTATAGAAATTCAATGATGCTTTCTTTTCAAAAGATACATCTTCCCACATCAAAATTATTCAACTTCAATGGGAATGTCATCTCAAACTAGTATAAAAAAGTGAAAAACAATTTAATCCCCCCCAAAATTGTCCGAGCTTATTTTCTTAGTTCATTTCTTGTATACTGGAATTAAAAATAGGGTTGTGTAGAATGTTACAGCACGGAAACAAGCCACTTGATCCAAATAGTCTGTGCAAGTGTTTTGCCCACAAAATATACAGTCAATTCACTTTACACTATATTCTGTGAAGAGCTTTGAGACGTCTTGAAGACAAGATAAGGCGCTGTTCAAATGCAAGAGTTAACATACTCTACTCCTCCCAATCCCCTTTCCCATATTCCTCTATTCCCTTCTCCCCCTTGTACACTGTGATCTTCTTGGACAACCCAGTTGTTAGTTGTATAAAGTTGGTGTTAAGCTCCTACTTTGAATTCTTCTACCAATATTTATACTCTTTGTATTCTGTTAGATCCAGCATTTCAATGTCCTACATCAAGAAACCAGATTTTAAAGTTGATTTCCTGTCATTTTACTACATTGGGCTTCAAACAGCTGAACAGAAGAATTGGTTGTGTAGATTAGCATGATCGAAGCAGAGGGGAGTGAGGGAGACTTTACACCAAGTCTAATTAATAAACAAATTTGTAAATTTTGCTTAATGTTCTGGTACCAATGAAAACAAGGAAAGTATCAAGGAGCACTGCAGATTTTTACCCTATAGTTCTTAAAATTTTCTTCAGATTGCTGCTGCTTTAAGATTGGTACACAACACAGATTTTTTTTTGCTCTGCTTAATTTAATTTTCTAACACCTTACTTCCTCTCACATGCCAGGTCCCAGTGAACTTGACCTCAGCCTGCTTTTAGATGCCACAGATGCTGTTGATATTGGGTCAGAGTCTGAAGATCAGGTAATACAATACGATTTCTATTGCTTAAACTTCATAGAATGTTAGCGTCCCTCTCCACAATATTCCATGAATCTTGTTAAATGTAATTAATTGACAATAGCCTTCATTTTGAAGGGTTGGATCATATTGTTCATTACTTTAACACTTATGTTAATCCAGGATAAAAGATTCTAATTTAATAAGACTCACTCATTAAACATTTACTTTGCTTAGACTCTGAACAAAGCAGCCATACAGTGTCACAATAAAGAGGTTAAATTAATATACATTCCACCACAATACATAGCTGACATGATGTTTTTAAAAAAAATCTGGCAGGGTAGCAGAAAGTGAAAGTGACACCACCAATGGTTTAATTTAGACTGGAGCATGATTTGCAAATATGTACAAGTGTTCAGCTCTTACACAACACACAGCTGGGGTCTGGGATCATGATAATCTGCTCTTTAATATTCCATGAAATAAGGAATTGCTTTGATTACAATAACTGGCAGTGATGCACGCAAACTTTCTAAATTCTCCTCTTTGGAAGGAGATTGAACAAAAGCAGTATGACTACCCACTGCAGACACCAGTCAACAAAGAATTGATTAATATGGTGACTACAATCAAATTATTTTCTCCCTTCTCCATGCACCCGCTTCGGATTTTGAATTTTTTTTCCCAGCTTTCTGCCGGTGCTGCTTTTAATCAGTCTCCAGTAGCCATTTGCACACAGTGTACATTGGCTAATATTGTGAGTCTCCTCCATCTCCGACTCTCCAATCATGTGGGGAAATGACCACGTGTACACAACAACAACAACTTGCATTTATATAGCAGCCCTCATGCTGGATGGCATCTCGGAGTGCTTGGGGAAGGAAGAGAACCCACATTCTGGTGCTCGTGGGGTGATATACTAACCTGTTGAAGTTGTGTCCAAAACTGAAACTCATTTTAGTCTACAATGCCCAGTTTTACTACATTTCTGGGTTTTACTTGGTTGCACTCGAATTCTGGTATGCCCCCACATCTCAGCTACAATAATAAAAATAATACTAGCATTTGATATAGCGCTTTTCACATCTTCTAGATGTCTCAAAGCACTTTACAGAATATTGTAAAGTGAATTGACTGTATATTTGTGGGCAATATGCAGGCATATGTGAGTGGCCAACTTGATGAATTTACATAATGTGAATTCCTGGAAGCCAAAGCCTTATCTTGTAAATCCAAATCAAAAGAATAAGAAATGACTTGTCATCTGGGTCTAATTTTGTTGTTTGACACACATGTAGCTTTGCAAAGGATTTAATAATAATAATCCTTGCATTTGATATAAGGCTTTTCACGTCTTCAAGAAGTCTCAAAGCGCTTCACAGAATATACTGTAAAGTGAATTGACTGTATGTTTTGTGGGCGAAATGTGGCAGCCAATTGCACACAGCAGTGTCCCACAAACAGTCATGGATAGAGTGACCAATTATTATTGGTTTTCTTTCTTGAATGATTATTATCAGGCATGTGGAGTAAGGAAACTTGCCCAAGATTTTGCCCTGACGGGAATCAAACCTAGATATCTCGCTTGCAAGGTGAGTCTCTAACCACTGAGTGAGGACTCCACAAAAATAAATTAGTATATTCAAACAATGTCACCAATTAAACTTGAAGTAGTATTATATATTACTTCCTCATCTATGCTGAGCATAATTTGATATCTATACAGGAAAATTAAATCCCCATCTGTTAGCTGAATAAGACTGAGCTTAGAACATATCACTGTTAAATATGACTTGAAACAATCCATACATTCCAGTCTTAATCGAGGAAAGGACGACAATTTTAAGCTTGTGCTAAGGAAAGTATTTTGACTAAGAGGAGCAGTACCTGGATATGGGGAGAAATTCATTTGTTGGGAAAACGAGGTCCTCTCTTGCAGTGTATCCATCTAAGCCATGACCCGCTCTGCCTTCCCTCACCTCCATAACATCGCCTGACTCTGCCACTATCTCACCCCTCAGGCGCTGAAACTCTTGTTCATGCCTTCATCACCTCCAATCTCGACTATGCAAACGCCCTGCTTGTCGGCCTTCCCATCTCCTCCCTCCACAGGCTGCAGATAATCCAGAACTCTTCAGCCCGTGTCCTCTCCCGCACCAAACTCTGTGACCCTATCTCCCCCACTCTCACCCTACTCCATTGGCTCCCTATCCTTCAGAGGATCCACTTCAAGATCCTGGTCCTCACATACAAAGCCCTCCATGGTCTCGTCCCATCCTAGCTCTGTGACCTCTTAACCCGCTACCAACCCGCCCGCTCCCTCCGCTCAGCCGGCTCTGGCCTGCTCCATGTCACCCGCCCCACCATTGGCGGGAGAGCCTTCAGCCGCTCTTCTCCCAACCTCTGGAATTCCATCCCCCAGTCACTTCGCCTCGCCCCCTCCTTAGCCTCCTTCAAGTCCCGCAGCATGACCCTCCTCTTCGACCATGCCATCGGCCACCCCCCTTCCCCTCCCCTCCCTTCTTTCCCCTGACGACAGCTCGGGTCTGAAATGCTGTACACTGTCCAGCGCCTTGGGACGTCCTCCCGACGTGAAAGGCACTATACAAATGTAATCTTGTTGTTGTATAATGTAAATCGGAGCCTAAGCTCAGGCAGCCATCTAATACCTCTATTAAATAGCAACAATAACACATTTATATAGCGTCCTTCACACAGGATAGCGACTCGGAGAGCTGGGCATTGGTAGTGTCGTGTGAATTTAGTTTGGCTGCAAACCATGATGTCCAAAAATGTCAAAGCAAGCACCAACACAATGTGCCGAATGTCCTTCTTCGCTGCTATAAACTTCTACGGATAACTTTTGGGAACTGAAAGTCACAATCATTGCAAGCAAAATATGAGTCGAGCTTGGTGGCTTGATTTTGTTTGGCTGCTGTTTTTCACCTGGTGGGGATTTCCACTGAGATAATGAATACTGCACTCTCTGATACAACAACAACAACAAGATTCCATTTATAGAGCGCCTTTCACGTCGTGAGGACATCCCAAGGCACTGTATAGTTGGGTCAGGACCCGAGCAAGGGGGAAATGGTCAGGATGAGGGGAGGGAAGGGAGGGAGCGAGGAGGGGGTAGAGAGTCGAGAGGGGAGCTGAAGGCACGGTCAAAGAGAAAGGTCTTGAGACCAGCCTTGATGGAGGAAAGGGAGGAGGCGGCGAAGGCACTGGGGGATAGAGTTCCAGAGCCTCGGGGCTGAGAGGCTGAAGGCCCGGCCACCGATGGTAGGGCGGTTGGGGCGGGGGATGTGGAGCAGACCGGAGCCAGAGGAACGGAGGGTATGGGCAGGTAGGTAGGGGGATAGTAGGTCGGAGAGGTAGGAGGGAGCAAGGCCATGAATGGCCTTGTAGGCTACAATGATACAGCCTCATTGGCCAGGTTTTCCAATTTAACAACAACAGCAACAACTTGGATTTATACAGCGCCCTCCACATCGGACAGCGTCTCAGAGCGCTTTACAGTAACGGATCCCAGGACCGACCCAGGGGGAGGGGGAGGAAGGTGACCAAAGGCACGGTCGAAAAGAAAGTTTTACATTATGTAATGGCTTTAGAATACAGCAACTGTGTAAAGCAGAAATATTTTAATTATATCAATGCGATCACAGTGCTCACAGCACAAATATTTCCAGTGGGTTGTCCCATTATATCCATAGATAATACAATAAAAAAATGTGTTAATTTCTACCACCTCTGTAAAAAATATAAAGTCTGAGACAGAGTTTGACCCATTAATCTTTTTACGAGCTTAGGTAACCTGTAATACTCAACTGAGCCTAGAAGCTTAAATCACATCTATTGATTTGCTCTGGTCCAGTCTTAGTTATGTCAGATTACTCATCCTCCAAATGATAGTCTGAATCAATAAGAAAATGTAACCAGCTGTTCATAGTATTGTTACCTTTGATTGACTTCAAAAATTGTTTTGTTCCTGTGCACTCAATATAGCACTCAGAGCCTGTTCAGCAGAATTTGAATCAGAATTTAAGGGTTGAGGGAGAACATTTTGTCAATGTCATCAATCAGGGAAGTTTGTCCGTCAAATCCATTAAATTTCTGATGGCCAGTCGGATACTGTTACATATGCTTTCAGCCATTCTGCCCCCCCTCTCTGAAGTTCTATCCCAGAGTCACTCAATCACGGCCTCCCTCAAAACATACTTCCTTGACTGTGATTTCGGTCAGCTTTCCATTCCCCTTCCACTTCGGCTCCCACCTGCAATTGTCAAATACTTTGAGATGTTCTGCTAACAATGAAAGGTGCTATATGGTGTAAATTGTTTGATTTCTTAGTGGTGTTCATCATTTCTGCAACAGCATTCAAGTTGAGTTTACATTTTCACGTTATCAGTTCAGAGGCAATACCATAGAAACACTTGACCTGTTTTTAGAGCATTATTGATTTCTGTTCTCATCAGACACATTCTCTATTACATTTTACGATGTCTGTTTGATGGATATGCCTGGAGAAGTATCTGGAGCAAATGAATTCTTCTTGTTTAAGTACTTAGTGCAGTGTTTCAAATCTTACTGAAGCTGGAACTCAGAAGCAGTCCATCATACTGAGTGGGGAGCAGTGCTGTGTTCTCATCCCTTTCCACAGTTATGACGGTGTAGGGGGGGATGAAATGAACTTCAGACAAACTATTCAGAAGCTTTTGTAGAACAAATTAACCTGATTTCCAACAGTGGTAAGTGACCTGGAAACTCCCAATGCCACAAATAGATCTGATTAGAGAGAAATAGAGAAATCGTCTGCTCCCCACCCCCAACTACTTGTTAAGACTGCTGACCTTCTGCAATTCAAACCAAGTGCCTTCGCCTTTCCTCCCCATTGCACAACTGCTCATATCCAGCATTCCTGACACCCAGCAAAAGAAAAATGTAAATCCTAAATTAACCAAAATATCTACTTTCCAAAAAACATCAGTACCAATGTGAATTTTGTTTTTAATAGTTCTTTTTAATTAAATATACATACATAATATATATACCTATATAATGTGTACACATATACACCCATTACATATTATATATATTATATATGTATAAAATTATCTTTTAATGTCATTCAGCAAATATGAGAATCACTGCAGTGTAAGAATCGTCAATTCAGAGCTCTGATTCAGTCAGCCTTTTATTGTGGAAAGATAAAAGTTTTATAAAGTTTTAGAATTTGTATGTGTGGGTGGAAAATGACTTCTCTTATTATCCTGCTTTCTTCTCTTTTCTGTAGTTTCTTCCAGGGTCTTTCAAAGACTTGTACGGTATTCAAATTATTTTAAAAAAAGAACAATGTCCCTTTTAGAACGAATACGGATCTTTTTTTCTTTGAAATTTCCTTCTATTGTAGTACCTATGCATTGACGGACCCAGTATAATAAGGTGATTTGCAATTCTTTAAACGCTTGATTAGACATTTATTTACATTGTGGAGCTAATGCTTACTCATTTCTATCACTACTGCATTTATTATCCAACCATTTATATCCTTTGATACTCAGTTTCAAATGACCAGAACTCCAAGGTGAGACTTTGCATATGTTCTTCTACATCGTCCCTAATATAGATGTCTAATCATCTGCTACAAAATAACACTAAAACATTTAATTTGTTATCCTACACCTTGCACAGTTTCTGAATGAGATAGGCAATTAATGCTATTAATTAGCTGATCAATTAAGGATCATGCCTAGTAGGAAATAGTTTGAGATTGCCAAGACTCATTTTGAAGGCCTTTATGTGCAGAGGAGAGTGGCAAACTCTCAGGCCTGGCTGGAGTAAAATCAAGCTCATGGATCAAAATAGCAATTTGTCCTGATCTACAGCACTGCTCGCTCCCCTTGGAGATGCCGTAAAAATTGTTTTTCAATAATCTGTGCTCTTGTCTTAGTTCTACTTTGATACACACCAGCATTTATTGTGTGTTCGTGGGACACTGCTGTGTGCAATTGGCTGACACGTGTCATGCACAAAATACGCAGTCACTACATTTTACAGTATATCCTATGAAGACATAATAAGGCACTATATCAAATGCAAGGATTATTATTATTATTTACAGGGAATTCAGAGCACTACTTCTAAAGGGTTAGAAGCTCCCAATGGCTTCATGTTATTAAAATAAGTATTTTAAGGTTTTAAAACTGATCTGTGGTGTCCTGTACTGAAGGAAGGAAAGGTCTCTTCTAAAATCAATTGTGAGCACATTTGTTCCTAATTTCTCTATTATAATTTTGTCTCACACATAGAAAAAGGAGTAGGCCATTCAACCCTTTGAGGCTGTTCTGCTATTCTACTAGATCATGGCTGATCTGTACCTCAACTCTATTTACTCGCCTTTGCTCCATATCCTTTGATACCCTTACCTGACAAAAATCTATCGACCTCAGTCTTGGAAAGTTGACAATAGGGGAAATGAATTTAAACAAGCAGCTCTTATATTTACTCAGTAGATCTAGCTTGCAAATTCATTTGATTTTTTTCTTGCCTGATGCTCAGAATTGGACTTCCTGTAATAGTTACCTCAAACAGGATTGAATTTGCACTACTGGCACTAAAATACTTTACACATCAGTATTCTTCCTTTTGTATCTGACAGATGGATAACCAGTCTTCAGAGTCTGAAGATGCCAACATAGAAGGTTAGTATATAGGTTCTGCATTCTTCCAGGGAGTTTTTAATCCTCTCTTTGAATTGAAGAAAGAACTTAAATTGCAACGGTATGAAATTTGAAATGCTACAATAGATTCAGGTACCATCTCTTCTGCCTTTGAACTGTCACAAATCTTGCCACTGTGAGTTCATTTTGAAGTGCACAGTTCTTGACAAATGGTTTCAACCCAGCTTCATGGTGGTATAAACTTGGCAAATATTAACAGCAGATGGCAACTCATTATACTTTGTGACCAAATGGTTATACATTGAGAATTTACATGAATGGGATAAAATGACTAATGCATCCTGAATCAGAATGCTACAAAAATGCAGCTTTCTAAAGTATGGTCCTCCAGGATCACCTCTCTGTCAATGTAATGCTCTTAATTTAGTTTGCGTTTGAAGAAAATCTAACTTAGTCAAAATGTGAGAGTAGTTTTGTGTTGTGGCGTAAAATGTTCAAAGAAGGATACCAAATATACAGAAATGCTGGTTCCTCCCTGATTTAATGTGCACTGGTATCTACATGACTGTATTCAAACCAGATAAGATTGCAGTAAGATTGCAAACTGGAAAGAAATCTTTAACAAACTCTGCATCACTCCTTATTTCAACAACTGCTCACCACTTTTCCTGGCCACAGAAGCAGAAGTAATTAACCAATTCAATATAAGACTTCTGTAATGTACTTCCTAACCATTTTCAAATTTCTGCTTTTTTTGTAGAAAATGTGAAGAAAGCCAAGATTATCTTCATTGTTGGTAAGCAGTATATTATAGTGAAGAAACCTTATTAAAAAAAATCTGACCACAATTTCAAATTATTCTCAAATGCATGACTTGCAGGAAATAACAGTCATGGAATGTCAAAGTCTAACCTTAAATTAGCAGCCAAGCAGGTTCAGGGTTGCTGGAGCACCAGCTGGTCACATATCCTCGAAAAATCAGTCTCACTGCCACCAGCAATTTTTTGTAAAAAAGAGTGAGCAGATAAAAATGTCATTAGCTTCTCCTTTCTGTCCTTTAAATGCTCATTATTAAAAAATAATGCACACATTTTGACAGCAACAATTTGAGCCCCAAATATCTGGGTTCTTTACCATCATGTCAATTGTGCCCAAATAGTCAGTTGATATGCTCGATCAAAATGAAATTTACAAAACTGACTTAGCCCTTGATCAGTACCAATCCTGTAACTTGCATTATCTGGCTCTTAACTGATTGCTAACATGCCAACTGTTTTACATTCCATCATCAGTGAATAATTAGATTTACCCGTATTAACCCCCCAACTAGATGATTGCCTAATTTTTTTTAAAAAAGTGGTAGACACAGAATGAAACTAGAAGAACTGATTGGGAAGCGTTATCACAGGTGCAGTCCTTTAAATCAACATCCCATCTGCTTGTTCGGTGGATGTTAAAGATGCTATGACAGGAATCAGACAGAGAAGGGAGTCTTTCACAGTTTCCTGACAAATAAAAAAAAATGTCTATTTACCTCAATCATAGCCATGAGCCATGCACTGCATAAATTGGCTGACACATTCACCTGTAAATACAGTCACTGCACTTGACAGAAAAACTCTCTGAAGCACGCTAATAGTATGAAATGCTCTATCAAATTCAAAGAATATTATTTATAATAAGTTGCTAAAACATGCAAATATAGTTTAATGCCATGATCCAAAATATAAACATGGTCCCTCTATTTAATCAGAAGCATGAGGTTGAGAGCTTTGCTTCGATAGAAGTTGTATCAGTGACACAGCAGGGTGATCGCCACAGAATATTAGTGGAAGAGAGTAAGCAGTATTCATCCATCATTTTGTCACTTTATATCCTGGACTGTATCCTTCAGCTTTAATGATTCAAATTACTACCTGCAGCCACTTGGTTAATAGACTTGATGAATAAAATTACTGCACACATACACAGTAACCGGTCTTTGCATTGATTTTGTTGATGTGTGTTCTCGTTTGTATTCTAAAGCAATTTAGTTCTAATCCAAGTGTGTCTCAATATTATCAAGGACAACTGGAGCAATAATCAATATATTTGAGTAACATGCCACCTTTTAAATGTGGCGTCTCTAATTCTAAAGTTTAATTGTGTATCAAACGATGATGCGAGTTATCATTGGCAGAGCCATCACTAAATGACAAAACATACACATGGAATTTTTAAACATTACATTGGGATATAATTTGTGATGTTCGCAAACTGAATTTGTATTGTATGCAAAGTCACAGCCAGTGGATCCAAAGTTGATGAAGTCTCAAAAATTAGGCCATTGAGCTAAATGGCAGCAGTAAATAGCAAGCAAAAGGTCACTATCAGCTATTATCTTGCTATATGCATTCAGTGACATGACTATGCAGAAGCAGACCATTTCCTTAGTTTGTTTGCGGATGTTTGCTACTCCAGATAGAAAAGTATGCAAGGGAAATCCCTTTAAGAGACAATATCTCTTACTGAATTTTTTTAAAATGCATTTCAAATTTCAGTAAACGGCTCATAGTTGCTCTTACAATTTGACATTTCAATCCAAGGCAGCCTTGAAATGCACTCTTTAAGCACTATGTTGATCATTGCATATGTCATGAATTTCTGATCTGGGATCTGAATACTTTGTTAATGCATTTCTTAATTTATTATAAGAATATTCCAGAGTCGTACTCTGCTTCAAAATCAATCTCTGCTGCATTATTCTAACCAGACCTGCTGGTTAGTGGCAGACTGGAAGCAAACATTTTGTGTGCAACTCCCTGATGTGCAAAATAAATCTCAGAAAGATTCCTCCAGAAGATAAGTGCTGTAAAGTGATACTGGATTTCAGCTGCTGTGATACAAAACTATCATTTAGCACAAAGTGGGGGGGAAGAAAGAGCTACGGTTTGCTTTCTCTCAGTGATTCCCCCTCACCCCATCCCCCCTGTGCTTCTTTGTTCAGCATGTTCCGCAGCAAGACCTAGATTTGAGATGAATATAAATTCAGTGGCCTGTATTATAGGCTTATTTGTATTCAAGCGGCAACATTTTATCAAAATCAATCTTATTGGAGATTTAACAATGGTTATTAATATTTAAAACTGCATGTTCTATCATGGTTGATTTGGTGTCCTACATTGATCATCCTTGAAACATTTCATTTGTAGATCATGATAAATCTGCATCATTTAAGTAATTAATTCAATTATCTTAGAATTATTCTGCTACTTTTACACATTTCCCTCCATTCTTTGTCACCTTCCTGGTGCTGCAAGATTAAACAAGTGAAATCGGATATATAAACTTAGATTTGCTCAGTACCTGAAAACTATTACTAGATGAGACTGCTGTAAATATTCTGTCGACAACACCACCTCAATTCCAGGCTTCATTACATTGAAAAGCTATGTTATTCCCTTGCTCCAGATGAAATTGTCTTATTATTTATTTTGTAATTGTTTTTGTGATCTGCTAAAATATTTTCTATAGCCTTTACATATTACTGCAGTTATGTTAATAATTCTACCACTGATAAAGAAACATACATAAAAATACACTTGTGAAAATTAATATACAGGTATTATAAATATGGATCGATTTATTTCCAGGCTTAAAGATTTTTGTCTAAGTGCAGCTTTTCAGTATTCCTTGTACTAAGGTCGAACCAATCATATTGCAAGGACCAGGAGTAAAGTATAAAGCACCACTATGTCTTTGTTAATAACTTGAAATGTTTTTTGTTTAAGGCGGTCCAGGCTCTGGAAAAAGAACTCAGTGCGAGAGGATAGCAGCGAAGTATGGTTTCACCCACCTATCCACTGGAGACATCTTACGAAATGAGCTTATGCTAGGGTCAGAAAGAAGTAACCAGATCAAAAGACTCGTGGAACGTAGAGAGTTAGTGCCGATGGTAAGCAAACTTGGACTTTCTGGATCAAAAGACTTCATTATGATACATACCAACTTTATCAAACAGACTTTACAAATTATTTTGTAGCAACACAATCTTCGTTCAAATTTAAATTTAAAACGTTTTATATAAGACAGTCGTATTCCCTCAAGTTCTTTACAGTATATCCAGTGAAGCGCTTTGAGACATCGCGACGAACTGAAAGGGCTATATCAAATGCAAGGATTATTATTACTACTCCAGATCCAGGGTTTATAGACACACCAACAAATGCATGAATAGTTGCAGAACACACAATCACATCAATGTTCATTTAAAAGCATGTTTAATTCTGACTTCCCCAAGGAATTTGTCCTGGAGATGCTGAAAGATGCCATGATTTGCAGCACGAACACTGAAGGCTTTCTAATTGATGGCTATCCTCGGGATGTGAGACAAGGAGAAGAATTTGAGAAGGAAGTAAGTAGACAATAATCTTTGCATTTGATATAGCGCTTTTCAAGTCTTCTAGATGTCTCAAAGCGCTTCACAGAATATACTGTAAAGTGAATTGACTGCATATTTGTTGGCGAAACGTGAAAAGATAAGGCACTACATAACCCCATAGCAAATGTACTATATTTTATATATCTATGGAAAAAATCATGGCTGGAGATTTTCAATTTGGCATATTACATTGACATTCGAGAAATGGACAGATACAACAAGTGTCCTATAGGTCAAGAAAATCTATGCACATTTACATAGAAATACTATTGTTTACTATCAACAACAACTTGGATTTATATTGCGCCCTCCACACTGGACGGCATCTCAGAGCGCTTTACAGTAATGGATCCCGGGACCGAGCCAGGGGGAGTGGGGGGGAAGGTGACCAAAGGCGCGGTCGAAAAAAAGGTCTTCAGCAGAGACCTGAAAATGGAAAGGGAGGGAGTGAGGTGAAGGGAATGAGGAAGCGAGTTCCAGACCTCGGGGCATAGTGGCTGAAGGCCACCGAGGGTGGAGCGGAGGACTCGGGGGACGAGGAGGAGGCCAGACTCGGAGTAACGAAGGCAACGGGTACTGTTTTGAGGAGAGTATGTCAAAGAGATCGGGGGGTGCAGAGGAGTGCAGGGACTTGAATACATGGGGAGGATCTTGAAATCGATCCTCTCTGGGATAGGCAGCCAGTGCAGTCTGGCAAGAACTGGGGTGATCGGGAAGCGGAGTTTGGTGCGGGTGAGAATGCAGGCAGCAGAGTTTTGAATGATTTGGATTTTATGGATGGTAGTGGATGGGAGACCGGCGAGGAGGGCATTAGAGTAATCCAGCCGAAAGGTGACAAAGGCACGGACCAAGGGTTTCGGCGGCTTTGGGGAAAGGTATTAGCGGAAATGGGCGATGCGTCGGAGGTGGAAAAAAGTGGTGCTGGTGTCTCGCTTGCAAGGCGTGTGCTCTAACCACTGAGCTTCAGGACTCCACAGATTCATCTAATCTTCATAGACTATTAGTGTCCCTCTCTATATTATTCCATGACTTTGAAATAGAATACTGGAGGAAAGATAATTGAGGGTCGAACCTGACGCTTAGGTTGCGTACGGGTTCAGAGATTTTTAGGGGGAGGTCGGGCAGGTGGAGGAGGTGAGAACCGTAAGATTTTAGACATTGACGAGAGCCAAAGAGTATGGCTTCTGTCTTGTCAAAGTTCAGCTGAAGGAAGTTTGCGCTCATCCAGCCCCTGAGATCTATCATTTTTAAATTCATACCTATATAATAATAATCCTTGCATTGGAGATGGTACCTCATTATGTCATTGAGATGTCTCAAAATGCTTGACAGAATATACCGTAAAGTGGATTGACTATGTATTTTGTGGGCAGCAGTTGTACACAACAATGTCCCACAAACAGCCATGGCATGAGTGACCAATTTTATTTGGAGGATTGTTGGCCAGGACACTGGGAAAAACTCACTTTTCTTTTCGAATAGTGCCATGGGATCTTTAACATCCACTTGAACAGGCAGACAGGTTCTCAGTTTAACGTCTCGTCCAAAGGACCCCACCTCCGATAATGCAACACATCCTCAACTGTGGCTCAGTGGTTAGAGCACTCGCTTTGCAAGCGAGAGACCTGAGTTCAATTCCAGGCAGGGCGAAACCTTGGGCAAGTTTCCTTACTTCACACACCTAATAATAATCCCTCCAAAAACCAAAAACAATAATAAATTGGTCATTTTCAATCTACGACTGTTTGTGGGACATTGCTGTGCGCAATTGGCTGCCGCGTTCGCCCACAAATATACAGTCAATTCACTTTACAGTGTGTTCTGTGAAGCGCTTTGGGACGTCCTCCCCACGTGAAAAGCGCTATATCAAATGCAAGGATTATTAATATTATTATTATTATTATTATCCCCAGCATTGCATTGGAGTGTCTTCTTAGACTATGTGATTCCAAGTCCTGACTTGGGGCTTGAACCCACAACCTTTTAATTGCAAAACTGAAAGCTGTCTGTACCGCACCCCCCACAAAAAAGGTGTAGATTAAATTGTGTAATGTATGGTTATAACCCAAGGGCAAAATTGAGTATTTTTAATACCTTGTAATAACATTTTTAATTCAGCAATTTTCATACAAAGGCTGACAAATGAATCTCCAGAGATGCATTAAATTGGATAACTGTGCAACAAACTGAGTTTGATGCACCACATCCAACCCTGTTTGGAGTTCAAGGTTGTACCGATTACTCATCACAATTGCACATTTGGGACACAGTTGTGTTGTGCTATGACTATTTTCCTGCACAAGGGAACAGTTATTGTAAATTATGCTGAAATAGCACTGACTGATTATCAAACGTGTTTATATGGTAACTCTATAACTTTCATTCAAGTATTTCATCTATCCCTCTGGTATGAATTAAAATTACCTTTCTTGCTCATCTCTTTCAGATAGCAAAGCCAAGCATGGTGCTTTTTATGAACTGTTCTGCTGACACAATGAAAACACGACTTTTCAAACAAAATCAAACAAGTGGCTGTGTTGATGATAGTGGTGAAACAATTATGAAACATATTGAAACCTACTACAAGGTTACAGCACCTATTATAGAACACTACAAAGGAAAACAACTTATATATAAGGTAAAACATCTTATGTTTAACAATTTCTGTTGAGTCACCTAAATAGAACCCGGGGAGATGTGAACTACTAAACTTGAAAGCATAAATCAATCTATATTTCATTGTATACATCTTATTCGGCATTTAAAATTAGGATTGTTTTCCCATTGATCAGTGAGTTGGTGACTTGGGGACAACAGTTTAAGTTACCAAAGAAGCTATTGTGGGAGAGATTAGGAATTTATTTTTACACAAAGGTTTGTGGATGCGGAATGCCTTATAGGGACTGGTGGTTGAGGTAGGATTCATAATAGTTTTCAAGAGGGAAATACTTATCTGAAACATATTTTGAAAGGGTATGGGGAAATGGCAGGTAAAGGGGAATAAACAGATTGCTCTTCGAAAAAGGCAGCTGACACGTTGAGCCGAATGGTCTTCTTCTCTGAATTAAAGTTCTTTGAGTGACAAAGTGTAAACTAGTGGTGGTCAACCTTTTTTGGATTTTTCTGGTTTTAATTTACATTTGTAACTAGAATCTAATCCCCTCTGTAAACATTGCTTTATACACCCATATAACAGTACATTCTACAAGGTTTTGAAGTAGGAAAACCATAATCCATCTTTCCTCTATGCTGTCTGCCAGTCAGCTAGAGAGACGGGTGCAATAGAGAGCCCACTGTGTCAGTTGCAGCATTGTACAATGACACAAAAATGGTCATCAGAATACTGCTTTGAAAAAAGATGGTCCCAAAAGTCTTCAGGGAGAGAAATACACATGCATTTGGCAGATTGCTGGAGGTATGCATACAGAATGCTTACATAGTGCACACCGTGAATCAGATTTCCCTCTTTGTTTTTAACAGATAAATGCAGAGGAGAACCCTGATGCAGTTTTTCTTCAGATCTGTGAGGTCATCGATTCCGTTCAATGAAGCAACAAAACCACAGCAATTAGGACATTTTTGGATGAACTGCTTTTGAAAGTTCATAGGTTGCAGCCAAGCCCAAAACAATTTGTGTAGATGTTGCACCAAGTTGCCAGATCATGAAAATGAATATGCATTGTAAGCACTTAATTGTACTATACTTTGTGTTTAAATGTAAATCAATTAGTGATCATTTACGCAAAAGGTCATTGTTGCAATGTTACCCATTCAAAGCAATATTGCAATACTGCAGAAGATTGTAATTTTAGGCATTATGTATGGTATGTTTCTTTCTCAATTTGAGTTTATATGTAAGTAGCTTTTAAAATATCTGTTATTTAAAACAAAGTTTTGTACAAAGATACATAGATCAATTGAGTTAAAATTTCGGAAGGCTTTGAATGTGTCAGGCACACAATATCCTGAAATACTTTGATTTATTCAAGTGTCTGAGAAAGTCAAGACAATAATGAATACAGTTGTAAAATAGGAGGACTGATAAGTTCAGTGCTCGATTGCAAAGGTCTCCTGATCATTTAATTCAAAAAGCAAACTCCAAAATAAGCTTCTAGCTAAGCAAAGGAAAACATTTTTGTGAAACATATGGAAATATTGTGCATCTCTAACAAGATACCCTTGAATTAGAATACATTAACCTGCAGAGAAAGAGTGAAGAAAAGGTATCTTGTATTTTCTCATGCATCATTAACCCAGCTGAGAAGTTGCAGGATACACTCTCAGGGCACCAAAAATAAATCGGCTTTGTAACTCACCACTAGAAATGATGGTTGACTCATTCTCGTATTTTTTTTCTCCCTTTGGGAAGTGTCAAGCCTCTGCTTGGCACACCAGTGACGAAAAGGAAAAATTCCCAAATGGGCAATCATTCATTGCAAACTCACATTCTACTCTCTGTACATCACGTTGGATCATGAAGATGCCATGCTCCCGTATAAAACATACATTTAGTTGGCATATTTAAACTGTTCTGCTATGGCTTGGAAATTATAAATGTATAAAAAAAACTAGGCTGAAATATTGTTCTACTTTTTCCTGCCATTGCATTATTCACCCTGAATTACCAAAAGCATGATCAATTCCTCATGTTGATGCCGAACAATTTATTTGACTTATTTATTTTCTGGTCAAGCAAAATGAATGTTTCATGAGGCAGTCAAATGGGACTGGGGTTGCTTCTGTGCCAATGCTTTTGATCACATGTACAATGCAATTGGCATCAGTTATTTTCATTATCTCTGACTGGATGTGATATACTTTTTTAAAATGTTACAGCAATTTTGGTGTTATAATTAGCAAGGGAAGGGCAAAACAACTCGGGTTCCAGCGACTAGTTGCCATCTAATGATGTCTGAGAAATGGGTTTGGGAAGATATTGGATGATGAAAGCATCAGTCTTGAATGTGATACTTTTTCAATATCATCCTCTGCATGCAGTAAATAAGTCTGCTCACACATGAAAACTTGGTCAGTTGCTTAAGTTATTGCTGGGATCCTTGAAAACATGCAAGAGAGTGACATGCTTCAGGTCAACAGATTAAAAGGGGAACGTTTGAGGAAGCTTTTCTTGGGACATTATTTTGCAGCTGCTTTTATACTGAACAAATGCTATATTTACCAATATGTGATTTATTCATTCTATAATTCAATTTCACTATAAAAGCGGCACAACTGAAGTAATGTTTTCCAATTCAACTATTGTTGCGGAGATAAGACAGAAGATTGCAAAAACTGATTTGCAAATTAGAAATGATTGATTACTTTGACTAATAAATGTCAATACTTTAATGCTTTTCAATCATATACCATTTTAGCAAAATATTGTTTTAAATTCTGTGAATAGACATGTTATTTGGCTCTGTGAATTTATCAAGCTAATTGTAAGGGATTCATTGTACAAAATCTAGTAAGATATGTTATAGAGATGTTAGCAGCAAAATATGTGTATTTTGTCATTCATATTTTGGTACTGTTCAAAAGATAAGTATGGATCACTTTGAAAAGTGAACTTGTTTCAACCCATAAAGATATTTGTTGCAAAGTGTAGTTGTTGATATTAGTTGCAAAGTGCTGTTGATTCACATTTAAGCTTTTATCAGTCTGTATCCAATTCTACGCTTTTAAACTACTGTTTAACAGCTCTTTGCTACTGTGAAAATTCCAGGTCATAATAAAGCATCTTCATCATTCTGCAAACGTAAGAGTTCAAATTCTGCACAGGTCTAATTGTAATAAAATTATTTTAAAAAATCTGTTGCAGTTCTTTAAAAATGATGTTCTGCATACATTCATAGAAATTCAAAGCCATGATTGGGCAAAAACATTAAAAAAAACAAAGAGACTAAGATCTGTCAGAAAATCTATGAAATTAATTTTCATCTTTTTAGTTCCTTGTAAATCTGCTTAATTAGGGCTCAGTCTAACCCTGAAAACATTGTTCTTCACTATCCGGTAAGCGAAGCCAAATGAACATTACAGAACTCAAAATATTGATTAAAAACGTAATATTCAGAAAATGAACACTGAACATTTCCTTTTAAATTTCTTCCTCTATCAAAAATATCTAGTAATACAGCAAAAGATAATCTGCTGTAGTGCAATGGTCACTTATTGGCTCTTGATTGTGAACTAAAGACACTGGAGATGGACTGTATACAAAGAGACTATTTCCACATGATTTTATTTCTCACAGTTGTCCTGACAGTTGTACAGATCTGTATAAGAACATATTGCATACACACAGATGAGGCCAAAAACTGAAACCGTACAAAAATGTTCTAATTGATGCACAACAACTACTAGTATAAAAGGACGCAAGTGAACTCTTGCTCATTGCTGACTAGTTTTGATCAATTGTTTAAATACATAGTAAAAATACAATCTTTCAGCAAATGGAGCTTGTGCAGACTACAAAAAGGGAATTAATTATAATACTTGATTATCTTTAGGCAGTTTTGTTAATGAGTTGTAGAGACAACTCTCATTTTAGGGGAAAGGGCTCTATTTAATTCTGAAGGAAGTGTGGGGTGGGGCGTATATAAAGTGATGTACACTGTTGCTACCACTGTACTTTTTCACCATATTTTGTACACATTACATAATCATCTTATAGCACATTACATCTAAAAACACTTTCACTGACAACTGAATGGTATTCAAACTTCAACTCATCAGCTTGTCGGGGAAACAAAGCCACAATTTTTCGATTTTCTCTTTGCCTCAGGTAGTGCTTCTGTTGCTCAGTGGAGGGGCTAATAGATAGAAGATGAAAGGTCTGCTAGATTAAGCAGCTGATTATGTTATGCAGGCTAGCACAGGATCATAACCAGGTCCAGAAATTTACTGTAGACCTCATTAGTTTAATAAATTCAATAGAATTCTTTCGTGGCTAAAACCTAGTCTTTTTTCCTGCAACAAATGACAACCCTTGTGCTGATAAAGACTATGAAACTACACAACGTGATAGCAATCTAATGTATTTTGTTGTTTCATAAATACTTGTCTACCGACATTTATCTACATCATATTATGATAACAGATCAGTCCTTGTCACAGAAACCATCTTACCTTTGGAATTAAATAACTAGGTTTACAGTTTGCACCCATTTTGTTTTCCCATCCTCTGCCTTCATCTCCAGGAGGTAATGAACGTACTGAGAGGACTCCAAAAGGCTTCTGAGAAAACCTTCTGGAAGTTAAGGAATGTTCAGCTGCTGTTGAATGACCTATAAGACTGTGGCAGCACAGAGCCACAGCTGATGAGGATGCCAGTGAAGTGGTCATCTGTGGACAGATGTTTTCGGCATAGCAGAACTCTTCCAATCTGTGCATGGAATTAACAATGGAGCCTTTGTAATGCAGTGATGAGGATCTCAAATCAATGGTTTTTCAACTGTGCCCTCTTGTCATCTGTTTGCAGGATAGTAGTTTGGATCAAGGTAGTTGTAACCGGTACTCTGAGACAAGCAGTAGTCTCTGTCCAGAAATGTTTCAACTCTGTAGATAGGCTCCAGCTGGTGATCACCTTTATGACTCTCTGTTTCATACAGGCTACAGAAATAGTAGAACAAAACAAAAAAAAGAAAAATTGGTAATTGGTAACCTTGTGGGATTTGAGAAAAAGATACTTTTAAGCCTCTGCCAATCAGAATTTCTGAATATTGTAAAATATAGACTAAATATACAGATCTTAATAGGAAATAATGATTAAAACTAATAAAGTCCAGACATTGCTGCATAATAAATATTTAATATTAGTAAATACTGTACATGCCTTGAGTAGCTGAAACACATTTGCTGAAAGTGAATCGCACAAGTCACACATGCTCGAATACTCATTTGCATTTTCAGTTGGTATTCAAATGTTTTGCATTTTCGGTTGGTAATCAAATGTTAGCTTCAAGTTCTATCACCCTTTCTAAGTGTGGGAGATTCAGAATTCTCAGTTTATAAGCATGTACCGCAAGACATATATTGTTTCAGATAGAATTAAACTAGCACCACTTTTGTGATGAAATGGTTAACAACATTTTGCCTACAAAACAACATGACATAAATCATGTCAAAATGTATTAGTGCATCACTTGTCCCTGACACAATTGTGACAAAAAATGGACCATGGCTCTTTTCTCTCCTGAAATAAAAAAAGCTTTGCTGAACACATTTTCAGGACAGTGCCCCTGTAAGACAGAACCCATCACCAGCTAAGGCCAAATAAAATCAATATTGAAGTAATTTACATATTACAACTCAAGTTACAGAATCTACTTTGCGCTGAATGTTTAAATATACATGAGTATAAAAGCAACAACCATTAATATTTTGTCAAGAATAGGAAAATGCAAATGCAGAATTAACAGCTATTAATAATTTTACTACAGAAACTGACCAAAATCCTTTTGGGCATTTTTCATTCTTTCAAACAGGTCGAGAATGTCCCTTTGATCAAATTTAAGAATAATAGCCTTGTTTCTTGCCTGCCAGCAAACATGCATAAAATAAACTGAATAATGCAGACTAAATTCAAAGATCTCCCCGTAACAATTTACAACATTTACATCGTTTGGTGAAAGAATAATGTTCAAAGTCCATCTTCTATTAAAATACAATCAGCAGAACCAAATATAAACATGAAGTACATTATCTAATGTTTCACACAAAATATCATATTTGTTGATATCTAGTAGCTGAAAACGCCAACTTTTTTATCTGATAATTATTTAGCATTGCAAGTCTCCACAGTCATGTTTACTTACCAGTCAGAACAACTGTCACAGAAATCTACTGAACCATCTGGTGGACAGTCCTGGCAATGCCACCGCACCCCAAGAATGGGATCTGTTCCGCAGTTGTCACACTATCAAAGTAAATCACAGAAGGGACGCAAAACATGGATTTATTATAGTACAATTAGATGCATGGCATTTATAACAATATGGCCTTAAGCAGTATACTCCAACTGATGACAGAATGGCAAGATAGCCCAGTTTTGTAACTGCATTTCTGAATAGTTAATGAATATTTAAAGATCTTTCTTTGTGAAGTTTATAAATAGCAATATTCCTTTTACTGGAGTGGAAGCACATTTTCTGAATACAGCTACACATCAAGTATCTATCCCTAAATGGGAACACAATTACAGATATGACAGGTGCAAGTGCTCATCAACCCGCTTCGAGCAAAAACACTAATTATGGATCGTTCTCTTACATAGGTTGACAATTAGCAGATTTACAAATCAATATTAAAATGGAATGAATTTTTGAATTAAAGTGAATGAATAAATGTAATGGAATTTTTTAACATTGCCACCAACGGTCATCGACCTGAAACGTTAACCCACTTTCCTCTATCCATAGATGTGGCATGACCACCTGAGTTTTTCCAGCTGAAATTGACGGCTTACTTCAGCTGAGATAATGCAGAATGGCCTTTCAAAATTCAAGATTCTTTTACATCTGAAGCTAAAATTTAATGTGGCTAAATGACATTTATGAAGTGAGTCAAATATTTTAATCCACCAATGTTTTCCATTACAGAATACCCCCAAAACCTCTGCTGCATAGTAAGCAACATTATTTTGTTTTTAAACTTACCTTAAAGCCAATATGTTGCACAAAACCACTTTCTGCTTGCATCTGGTCAAGTTTATGCTTTTTCATTTTTTTTAACCTTAGCAGCTCTTTGTATTCTGGTGTAAGTCGATAGGCAGGTGGAATGCTTTCATCATCCTGTGGAGAACAAAATAAGTAAAATAAAACGAGGCACTTTCACTCCATTAAAACGAAAAAAAGCATGAAACAAAAAAAGTCATCGGGCACTTTTATGGGTAATTACTGTCAAATATAGCGACTGGGTGCGCAGTCGAACATATTGTATCACTATAATTCCACAAACAGTTATGAGGTGAATTACCAATGTTACTGCCAGAATCTATAACTGAAGCAGAAAGCAAGTGGAATTAAACCCAACCAAAAGATTGTATACCTCACCCAATTCTTTTTAAACTGGTTATTCTTCTCACTGTTACAAAATGTACAACACCCATTCTCAAATAGTGAATTTATAGAAAGCAGCTAATTAGACTCCAGGTTAAAATCCATTTTATTTTTTGGCAGAAGGTAATTAACTCCTCAACAGGTGGTAATGAACATTGACTGAAATGTGAACAAACCAATTAACATGCAACAAAACTAATTCAGATCATGTTTGACTTCATCAAAGCTGTCACATCTGTTTTATTTGCTTCATGCACATTTAATCATTCATATTTGTAAAGTATCCAAAACAATTTGGTGTCAGTTTCATGGTTAAAGCGATAAGCGATTGTTCAGGAATAACTCACTGAGACTTCGCAGTCAGCAGAAGCATCCAGTTGACTGCTGTAGAAGCTACTCCTGTCATCTTCATCATCCATATACACAGGAGCTTGATGCGATGTCATGAAGGTTGATGGGCGGAAAAGGTGTTTATTGAGAGGATGCTGCTGCCTATTTGATGCCTTTTTAAAAAAAAAAAAACTTAGTCTCAATTATCTTGTTTCTACTATATTTCCAAATCTCCTATAATATAGTATAGCTCAATGATGAAACTGTCTAACATTAGAGATTATCAGAGGAAGGATTTGTGAAAAGGATGAGAAGTATAGAATTACATCTACACAATAATGTTGGGAACTTTTGTTTTTAAAATGTTGTTTCAACTTCCAAAGAAGAAGTTAAAAGGCCTGGCTCGGAGGCGTGTCTGTTCTTTTCTGTAGGAAATAAAACCAAAATGGAAGGAAAGGAGTTACAGTAAATACAACAGAAATGAAGGAATGGAAGAAAAAATAGAAACCACAAAAAAATAGATTGAAAAAGGAAAACAAGTGAGAAGCAAAGACACTGCAAAGAACAAAAGGAACACAAGATACAAGCATCACAGAATATAGAGTTGAATATTTCTAAAAGAGGATAGAAAACAGTTCATTATTTCTGTACTATTTTTCTTCATAATACATACGTATACAAAAATTGTAAATAAAGGAAAATCGATCATTTGGCATCTCTGCATTATAGTGCCTAATAATGGGCTATTCTAATTTATCACTGTAATAGATTTCTGATACTGCTATTTGATCCAGAACTTTTTAAAGTAAACCTCTTAGCTTTATCCGAGCATAAACAAGCAAGATATACAATTTTGTGAGTGTATTTGGGGCGAGTAGAGAAGAAGGGAGAGAGAATGTTACATTTTGAAACCTTCTCTGTGGAGATCTTCTGGTAATACGATTGGCACCAGGGTATCATCCCTCGAGGTGAAACACTGCTTTGAGAATACACTACATTGAGCCATTCAGCCAAGAACTGACCAGATTCATCACAATCATGGCATGCAAAATAAGGGTCAGACTGCCCTGCAACCTGAACTCACAGAAATACTTCTTTTTGCAGTTTTTCCTGTCATGTGAATTTATCTTGTTGCAAACTCAACGACAGTCCATTGCGACTACGTGCATTTTTCAGCAAACTAAGTCTTTACGTTTTACTTATTTTCACCCACAAAATATAATCACTCCACTTTACAGTATATTCTGTGAAGTGCTGTGAGACATCTCAAAGACGTGATAAGGCGTTATATCAAATACAAGGATTATTATTATTCTTAATCAGTTGCCTATTTATGATTTTTTTTTAAAAAGACATTCAAGAAATTCTTATTAAAACAGTGTGTAATAAGAAGGTCAAGTGGAAAGAATGAGAAATTAGTTTTCAAAAGATTAAAGAAGGTGAAAAATAATGGATTGTTTTCATGGCAAAGATTGCCCAAATGCAAATATTTATGGCACTTTTTCTCTAACTTTCAAAAGTAATCCTATAGTTTGATTAAAATTAGTTTTCAAAAGGTAGCCTGAGCTGTGAAAGTATACCTCCTAATGGATTCACCAGATGCAATACTATCAACAGCTCAACTGCACCATGAAGTAGTAGAATACCAGAACCAATAATTTAAAGCAAGATTATTTGCAAAATTCAAAGCAAAATCTTTGACTGCATCTTCAGCTACTTCCACCCCAGCTCGGCTCCTATTGAGTCTTTCTAAATTGCTTTGAGACTCTCTCTATGTGAAAGGCACTATTGAAGTGCAAACTGTTGTTTTTATTGTCTTCAAATTATGAGGCTTGATCAAAATGGTCAGATATATTTTCTGCTTAATCTGCAGCACACTGTTTAACTGTTTGCATTACCTTCTTAGAGGACAAATACAAGTTTGGAGTTCTTCCAGGAACAGGGATTCCAGCCTGAGCCAATTTAATGAAATACTTCTGCACCCTACTGGCAACCTGAGGTGAAACAGACACACTGTGAATCCATTGCATGAATTCTACCACATTCAAAATACCACATCACTATAATATTCCTCCTGATGCAGAAGGTGCTATAATAAATGTAATTTGTTGCTGTTCACAAAACTTACAGGATGGAGCAAAAACAAAATAAGAATTTTAATTGTGCTGCAATTATAAGCCATTTGATTTGCATTATATACATTATGGCATGCAGTAGAAAATATTTAGCATAAACACAGTTCTAGTAAAACTACAACAACAACAACAACTTGGATTTATATAGTGCCCTCCATGCCGGATGGCGTCTCAGAGCGCTTCACAGTAATGGATCCCGGGGCCGAGCCAGGGGGAGGGGGAGGAAGGTGACCAAAGGTGCGGTCGAAAAGAAAGGTCTTCAGCACAGACCTGAAAATAGGAAGAGAGGGAGCGAGGCGAAGGGAGTGAGGAAGGGAGTTCCAAAGCCTCGGGGCCTAGTGGCTGAAGGCACAGCCGCCGAGGGTGGAGCGGAGGACTCGGGGGACAAGGAGGAGGCCAGACATGGAGGAACGAAGGCAACGTCAAACATGATGCCTAGGTTGCGTACGGGTGTGGAGAGTTTTAGTGGGAGGTCAGGTAGGTGGAGGAGGTGAGAACCTTGAGATTTCAGACATTGACGAGAGCCAAAGAGTATGGCTTCCATCTTGTCAGCTGAAGGAAGTTTGCGCTCATCCAGCCCTGAGGTCTGACAGGCAGGCTGACAGAACATCAGGGGTCTGGGGGTCACAAAGAGGTGGAAAAATAAGAGTTGGGTGTCGTCCGCATACATGTGGAAATGTACCCCATGTCTGCGGATGACATCCCCAAGAGGGAGCATGTAGATCAGAAAGAGGAGGGGGCCAAGGATGGATCCTTGGGGTATCCCGCAGGTAACCGGGTGAGAGCGAGAGGAGAAGCCGTTTGTGCAGATGTACTGCTGGCGGTTTGTGAGGTAGGACTCGAACCAGGCGAGTATGGTCCCACTGGGGTGGATGACGGAGGAAAGGCTGTGGGGGAGGATGGCGTAATCGACTGTGTTGAACGCCGCGGAGAGGTCCAGGAGGACAAGGAGGCAGAGGGATGTCGTTTGTGACTTTCACAAGCGCAGTCTCTGTACTGTGGGCAGGACGGAAACTGGACTGGAGAGGTTCGAAGAGGGAGTGGGAGGAGTGATGTGCGCAAAGTTGAATGGCAACAACAGTTCTAGAAGTTTTTCTAGGAAGGGCAGGTTAGAAATAGGGCGGTAGTGGCTGGGGTTTGAGGGATCTAGGGAAGGTTTTTTGAGGAGGGAGGTGATAACAGCAGTTTTGAGGGAGGCAGGGATTGCTCCGGAGGAGAGGGACTGGTTGATCACGTCAACCAGTAGTGGGCTGAGGAGGGGGAGCTGGGTGACCAGCAAGTTGGTGGGGAGGGGGTCGAGGCAGCAGGTGGTGGGTTTCATAGAAGTGATGGTAGGTAAGCTGACATCAATTAATTTAGTATTTGCCGAAATGAATCACATTCAAGACAAGTATATTAAATTACTGAAGCAACTACCTGCTTGGCAGTTCGGCTGCCTAGTTCATCTGCTACCTTCTGCCAGCGACGTGTTTCCACTTCTTCTGGTGGGTATTTAAGGAGCAGTTCCTCCAATCTTTTCTGAAAAAGTATTTTTTTAAGTAATAATTAACAATACGAAAGTGCACAATTAAGGTCTTTAAGCAAGCCAATCTTTACTAAGTCACTCTAAAAAAAAATGCTTGTGTATGATTTTGTATTTAATCTTCATTTATATTATCATCTCCATTACTGCATTCTTTTTAGTACCAACTACTGTTAAACTTCTGCACACACCAATAATATTTTCTGTTTTATAACAACTCATAATTCCAAACACTTAAAATGAGCTTTCCAATCTATTGTATAAATTCAAACTTGGATGGAGATTGGTAGTTACAAAGATTCAGTAAGGCATTTCATTAATTTCTGTAAAATATTAATCCTTGCATTTGACATAGAGCTTATTATGTCTTCGAGGCGTCTCAAAGGCAAATAAATGTTGGGCTAAAATAGATTCACAGAACCCACAGCTAGATAGACACTTCTGATTCCTACATCCTTGTGTTCATTTTGCTCTGCAATTATACACTGGAAAGCTTACCTGTTCTTCTATACTCCACAGCTGGTTATAGGTTTCTGATTTAGAGTCATCACAAATCCGTCCTCTTATTACCTGAAAATGTTTCATGCAAGAAATAAAAATGAAATATCAAATGTATAGCATTAAAACCAACACTCAAACCACAATTAGTAAAGGGTCAGTAGTTGTTTTATAAAAGGAATATCCCCTGTACAGTGGCTCCTTCACATAGGAGCTCTCAAGAAAAAGCAGAACCAAGACATTTTGGCACAAGGATTAAATAGGTGGTGAATTACTCCAATTGTTGACCCAAATAACACTTCATAGCAATAGAAAAATGAAACATTATATTCTAAAATTTAAAACTACTTTTCAAGTTATCTCCTCTAAATACATCAGGCCAAAGGCCATCACAGAACATTAATAGTTTCTAAGACAACATATTAGGGGAGGGTCTTTTTTGCTAATCATACAATGGAGATGTCACACTCTTAGAATACTATTATCTATTGGGTAAAAAAATAGCTGTCTTCACTATGCTCCTGAATAGAGCACCCTCTAGTGCACAAACATGACATTTCTATATCTCTTTCAGGTTTTAGATTATTTTAAGAAACCATGGATAGCAGAAGATAGGTTCTTACTGAAGGTGCTCTTCGAGGATTGTTTCAGACCAATACTGAATTTAAATCCTAATATTTTCAAGGACTGACTGTCATCAGATTTTTTTAAACATTATACTGGTTTTACCTGTGTGCGACTGTTTGTGGCCATTACCTCTGGGGTATCACTTGAAGGCAACGTTGAACAGTAAAAAGAAGAAGACGATGATGACTCCCCATCTTTCTTGGAATCAACAGGACTTTTTGGTCTTAGAGGTAATCCTAAATCAGGCAACAAAAAGTGGAGTACTAAATATATAATCAAATTTGACCAAAATATGTTAAATTTCTGTGTTGTTTGTTTTGATTTGTTGTAAATTACTTAAGATTAGTTTAATTTAAATAATTCAACATTTACTAGTTAATAATAAATGTGCAAAATAAATACTATTCAATACCTAGAACTGTATATTTATACTTACTTTTGTCAAAGATTAACTTTAGCCTTCTTGTGTTGTGTTTCTTATTTCTGTATTCTTTCTCAAAATTGCCAAGGCCAGATGTATAGTGATCCCATGGAATCTGAGGCAGCTGAACAACTCTTTGTGAACATGGAAGCTCCATATCAATCTGTAGTAAAAGCAAAGGTTCAATTAGTACCTTCCCACATATAGATTGTTAAGAAATAAGGATGAAATTATGCTGTTAATATGGAGAAGGAATAAAGTGGGAAAAAGAAAACATGGCTCTGGAAAATCCAAGCTCATAGATGAGTCAGAAAGTAAACTATCCACTACATCACAGATAGTAGTCAGAGAAAATTTGATGGCCATGAATGCATCTATGATGGAGGACACATAAACTAATTTGCTTAGAAACAAACAGTATCAGACCCTATCTACGCCATTCAAGAAGTCCAAGGCAATGACAAGTCAAATAAACATTTTTCAAGGGTAGACTACCAGAAGTGAATAGCAATAGACATGGTGGCCACCAGCAGAAAGCCCATGCTGAAAAACAAATACTGGCATGATAATGGATGAAGCCTCAAATGCCCACAGCGATAAATAATATTCAGGAGCTTTTACCACTTTTGAAACTACAACATACAAAGGTAGTAGGGAGAAAGTTTGATAAGCAAGATGGAACAACTAATAGGAAGAACATGAGCAAGCAAATTCCAAGGAGTGGTAAACGGAATACATTTAATAATAATCGTTGCATTTGATAATAATAATCCTTGCATTTGATATAGCACCTTTCACGACTTCTAGACGTCTCAAAGCGCTTCACAGAATAGACTGTAAAGTGAATTGGCTGTATATTTGTGGGCGAAATGCAGCAGCCAATTGCGCACAGCAGTGCCCCACAAACAGTCGTGGGTTGAAGTGACCAATTTATTATTGTTTTTTTTCTTGAGGGATTATTATCAGGCATGTAGAGTAAGGAAACTTGCCCAAGGTTTCGCCCTGCTGGGAATCGGACCCAGGTCTCTCGCTTGCGAGGCGAGCGCTCTAACCACTGAGCTACAGGACCCCACAATATGGACGATATATTAATATAGTGCCTATAATAATAATAATAATAATCCTTGCATTTGATATAGCGCTTTTCACGTCAGGAGGACGTCCCAAAGCGCTTCACAGAACACACTGTAAAGTGAATTGACTGTATATTTGTGGGCGAACGCGGCAGCCAATTGCGCACAGCAATGTCCCACAAACAGTCGTAGATTGAAAATGACCAATTTATTATTGTTTTTGGTTTTGGAGGGATTATTATTAGGCGTGTGGAGTAAGGAAACTTGCCCAAGGTTTCGCCCTGCCTGGAATTGAACTCAGGTCTCTCGCTTGCAAAGCGAGTGCTCTAACCACTGAGCTACAGGACTCCACTGTCAACGTCAAAACGTCTCAAAGATCTTCACAGGTAATTGCTAATTGCTGTCATGTATAACCTATGCATTTGTAAGCAAACCTGCAGCAGCCAATTGGCACATGAGGTATCACAAATAGTCATTAAGTGAATGACCAAGTTATCTAGGATCATTGGCCAGAATACTGGGAGAAACACCCATTTCTTTTTCAGTAATGCTTTGGGATCTTTAATATCCATTTAATTAGACTCACGGAACCTTGATATAATGCCTCAACCAAAGACCAGCAACTCCGACAATGCAATCCTGCCTCAGTGTGGCACTGGGAGTACAAACAAGACTTTCAGCTCAAAATCCAAATTTGGGGATCGAACCTACAACCTTCAGACTCAACTGATCCAGACTGACATCCACGCCTGGGATTAGGATAGATATCATAATGCACTACATTTTGTTGCTCAATTACCCACTTAATACTTTATCTAACTAGTGCCTGCTTTCCATAGAATGACCAAGTGTGTGGTTAAGACAGACAACTCAAATCATTACCAACCTTTTGTTGGAGATTTTCTACAAATGTAATAGGGTCCTTGAGTGCTTCCTTTTGGTGTTTGCTTAAGTTTTCCAGGTCCTGAACAGCCTGAGCTCGTTGAGCTTCTAGTACAGCAATGGTCTGCAGCAGCCTCTGGTAACTGAGTAAAGGATAATTCAGGACAAATCATTATACACACCAAAGGCAAGCTATAATTGAGAGAAATGGTCGTCTCTTAAATAGGTCTGAGAAAGAGCTGAAACTTCCCAGTAAATCTGCAGGAAATCACAACTAGTATTTCAACACCATTTGGGGTGGTTCTTCAAAATGGCAATGTGAATGGCCAGATTAATGCAGTAGAGGTGCTGATGTGAGGTTTTAGAAAGCATACTGTTGGGCAAAGTAGTGATTAATTTATCCCACACTGAAAACATGTAACACTTGAATCTTAAAAGCTAACAGTGAATGACAAAAGTACAGAGATGATCCATTTTAGCACTGGCAACCTTCATCTTCATGCACACAAATTAAAAAATATTTTGTGATAACCTAGAAATCCTAAAAATATTCCAAATCACCAAAGTATGGTCACACATGAATCTGTTTAGCATTACACTTTTGAAACAATAATAAGGAACCCCACCAGCAACAAAAAGGAATTGGAAGAATGATATTCTCAGTTAATACAGGATTAACATTTAAAAGCTACTTGGATTTGCAAAAGTATTTCTCTTCTATCAATATATAAAAGAGTTAATTCTACCATGGTGAAAAACTTCTCTGGTAAACTGTATTTTTTTTAAAAAAGCAAAATAAGAATCAAATTTCCAGATGGAGCAGACGTTTATTTGAGCAAATAACTTTCACATCTTTCCTTTATATATTTATTCTGCCTAATGCTTACTAGTCAATAATCTACTGAGCTACTAAAGTTTTGTATCATGTTTGTCTTCTACTACAACAAATAATAAAAATAAATGTACAATATATTCAACTTTCCTAAATATGTATATCAGAGTAGAATTTGTTTTTTAAAGTCTAACAATGGATTTTTAAAATAGAAGTTTATGAGTCTACAATCATTTTAACCAACATCCCAATGTTATTGTTTGAAGCAGTCAGTTCCTAATTCTACATTGCTTGATGGGGCACGATACGTTACAGTGCAATGTGGTGTGGGTTTTATGGATGGCTATGGAGCAATACTAGTAAAAGACTGGGAATCAGTCATCTATCTAAAATTTTGGACAAAGATTCTGCTTACGATAAAGAAACTCAAAATAAGCAAAATATTTACAAAACATTTAACTTACTCAAACAAAAATTACAATTATAAGCATATACACAAATTAAATAATTTGACAAACATTCATATAAATATTCGATTTTGCAGGATTAAAAACAAACTAACTTGCTCAATGCCACACAAGGGTTAAAAAACATGTCCAAGAAACATTTAGCAAGTAAACAAATACTGTGGGTTCAATCTTTTCACAAGGTTATCATGCATTGCCTTGGTAATAATATTCCAAACACTTATAGTTTTGCTTATAGCTAGTTGCTTCTTCATAATTTCAATTAGACATGAATTATTTTGGACCTCATATTTAACGACCAGAAGAATGCATAGTTTCAAACCACACTATAAACCCTTTGGAAACATCCTCAAATACAATGCTTTTAGGCTTTAAAGTCTGGAAGATAATATCAACTATATTCCTAAAGCTGGGAATGTCAAACAAGAGGCTGAGTGACAGACTGTCATTTCATCTCTGACTGAAATCCTATCGAGTTCACCGTCAATGAAATTTTTGCAAGTGGAGAAAAATAAACAAGCTGTATTGAGGAGTATGTACATACAAAAGCACATGTAGAAAAACCTATAATAATATACAAATATATCTCTATTTCAATAAGCATTCAGAAATTACTTAGTTCAACTTAGTTCGACATGTTGATATTGTCTGTCAATTATATTAATAATTATAATGCATAACATCTAAAGCAGAAATACAACTACATAAGAAAGTGGGTATTTTTCCAGACATGCATGATAGCAGACATTATTTGTTAGCATGCATCCAACAGGAAATGAAACAACAATTGCTTTCCAGCCATAAACATTGAACTCCGTCTTCTCCAAATATTTTCTCACAAATTCTGAAAACGATTTGCTAGACATTTTACCACACAGAAAATACACATCTAATAGAGCTCAATATCTCACTCCAAGTCTTGCCAGTTGTTAACTTTTGGGGTGGGGTGGGGCTGGGGGGGGGGGCAAGTGAAAGGAAATAAGAGAAGCCCTTCTATAACTCAACAGCTTATTATCTGATTTTTTTTAAGCTTTACCACATCAGTGGAGCTACTGAACTTGAATTCTTGACCACACAATAAACCATTAGGTCAGTGAGGAAATAAATACTGACCCAAACTTTCAACAATGTACACTGCTTGAATTCAATGTTGATTTTTCACCATCAAAATTCTAATCTGGAAACCATTGAATTCAGATCCCCAAATATTTCTCTGGCATCCTCTAATATGTACATGATACTAAGCCAACTTTTTTTTTACTTCATATTCAATTAATTCTGAAGCAGAGTTAGATTTATTGAATTGACTTAGACTTCCAAGCAGTCTAGAATTTTTCAATTGTGCAAATGAATTACAGTGAATCTAAAAGGTCAAACCAACCTGAACTCCTGAAAGGTTAACTAAGGTCACATAATACCTTTATTAAATACTAGAGATACACGTTGCAGTTACGCTTGCAACCACGTTGCAAACAGTCATGGATTGAGTGACTACCTGCCATACATGTGCGATGATCTTGTTTAGGTCATAGCTCATCAACGATAGGAGTGCCCCATAAAAAAAATATATGCCCATCACACTCGCTCATGCAAGATCTTTCCGATGAGGTATAATTCATGTCTCTACGTCAATCGGTTATTGCGTTATTGGCAGACAGACACCTAGACAGACACATAGACAGACATTTTGTCCTTATTAATATAGATTATCTTTCCCCAGATTCTCACCACCAATTGTACGATTTCACTCCTCCGTGAACACCCTTAAAACAGGAACAATTAACTAGAAAAAAATGTTGGGAACTTTTTTCCTCAAAGCCAGACTTAATTTCAAAAGAAATAGTTGTTATCATCACTGTGCAGTTACTTTTTCTGATTCAATGTCTGTGCTTCCAATGTTTGCTAGTTGAGGTGTATACAAATTCCTTACACTGTAATGTCTTATTTTGGATGTTATCTTAGATTTGACTGTCACTCCAGTTCCCAATAAGCATGCTTTCATCCATATCATTTTCAAAAACTCAAATTGAACACAATTCTCACAAATCCAGCAACTCTATTTGGAGGCCACCAAAATATAGTGTGGGAAAAAATACCTTGCCCTGAGCACTGGTAATGTTTTCCTTAATACCTGGATTGTCATTACTGCATTTATAGCCCCCTTATTTGAAGAAATATGTAAGCAGACAGGGAGATGCAGTAACCAAATTTCAGTTATCAATACACAACTTACATTAATCCAAGATTACTACCACATAAAGCATTTTTGGGAAATACGAAATGAAGAACTGTAGAATTTCATTTCTTGTCTTCAGTGCTGTTGAAGGATCAGCTTTGAGAATTTTGTTACATCTACATCATTTCCAGCAAACATCAAAATATAAGCTTTTAGAGAAATGTTTAAATGCTTCTTGTTGCATAATGGATAGATACTGTTGATCTATAGCTAGATTCTTTTTAATTGAAGAGAGAATTAACTAAATAATGTTCAAAGTCTTATTTATAATAATTTAACTTGAGTCTTCTTGATAAATGGCACAGCAAGCCAAATGAATATCAAACTTTCATGGCAAAAGGGATGAGTCAAGGATCCATCCCGCAGAGGCACGAGCAGAATTATTCCATCATTTGTAGGTTTTTCTTTTGTTTCGTTATTAATCTCTACTCTTACTGTGTCACAACTCCTGCAATTGTAGGCAGTTTGCCTTTTTTAAAAAAAAATATTTTAGTGCTGGGATGGCCCTGTAACATTGATTTTGTTTGTTGTATACTTGGAAGTATAAAAGTTGCTGGCTAATCATTTGCTGGTAGGCATAGATAGGTCTGATGAAGGGTCATGTATAAAATGTCAACCTATTTTTTCTTTTAAATGCTGAATGACTGGCTATGGATTGCCAGCATTTCTGTTTGGATTATAGCTTTGTTTAGTCGCTTGTTTGTGAAACAACTATCAAACAGTTAATTTTGCCATTCACCCCTCTTTTACGGCATGGCCTTCTCAAATTACTTACAGAACTATATCAAGTTTTATTCACACATTTAAGGAATTCAGAACTTGCCAGTCTTGAACAAAATGCTTAACAGTGAGTTTCTAGGTTTTAAAAGATGAATCTGGTTTAAATCATTTTCTGCATTTTGTTGCTTAAAATGCGTCTCCAAAATGTTTGATGCTCATGATGTTCAAGAAAGGTTGTCTCTCATTATGTTTCTTATTTCATGTAGAAATTGTACTTTTTGATGGATTTGAATCAAATTACTTGAGAAACTTTTCAATGACCTATTAAAGGATAAGTGTTATCCATCCGTTAATGGAAAACACAAGTACTCACCAAAACTGGCAGTTTCTATTTTTCTACAGTTGATGAAGATCCAAGATAGAGTTCCAAAACATCCTGAAGCAATCGTACTTCGACACCACTGAAGATTATAAAAACTTCTTAATTACGGAGAATTGTCACTGTTCGAAGCAAAGCTCTCTTACGCCATGTAAAACATTGAATCAAATTTAACCTACTTATATTGTTAGTAGAGTATTAGTTATAAGATTATACAGATACAAAAAATATTTATTGTGTGACAATAATAAAATTTAAATTTGTTTTGTGTGGTCCTCTATTTAACAAAATATATTAATACTCTACTGGCAATATGCTGAAGTTCTTTAGTTCCGGTATTTGTAACACTAACGTACATCAAGAATACTCAAAGTGCTAAATATTAAAAAATCAAGGAGGCAGTGGTGATACTTTGGCAAAAAAATGGATTTTGTACTTAATAACGAGAAGCGTTTTTGCAGCCGACTACATTGAATCAATTTCTTTCATAACTTTTCATACAAAATATTTTTTGTATTACTTTACAGAATCTATTCTATCTCACCACTTACTGTAAACGGTTTTCAATTACATTAGATAACGTAATTTTTTCGAATAATTCACTCAAGCACCTTTCATTGTTGACCAAAAAAAAACTCATCACAAGAAACCTAAAATCTCTACCTCATTAGATTTCTATATATTTACAACACAGAATGGTGGGCTCCGAAACTACCAGAATTGTTCGTAATACATTCAGCATAGTCAAGTAGCAACTTACATATTCCAGTTTCAAAAGGTTGGCTTCTTAGTACAAATTGTCAAATAATTATTATTTTAAAATGAGCACTTACCTGGTTTTGAAAGCTTGCTTCCCCATAATTCACTTTTTTTCCCCAAAAAGGTATAAACATTTTAGCTTAAAACAAATAAAATTGCTTCCAACTAGTCTAAGCTCTTCAAACTATGATAAATATTGTGTTTTTTGTATTCCAGAAACTCTCAGATCTTGGTCTCTGCAAGCCAAACCATAATGTAACTAGACTATTGTGAAATCGAAGACAATAATTCCCTCTTCCTCAACACATAATTAACACTTCCTTATTGCTAACTCAACTGAAAAATGCGTAAATCCTAGATTAGGCCAAAGGGGACTACAAGACAAAACCATTATGTGTTCCTCTGAAAACAGATGAGATGTAACCCAATAGAAGACTTTATTTTTCGCAGTGGGTGGTTACAAATCACAATTTTTCTTCCTCTCTACAGACTACAAAGACATTAGCAATCAGACATGCACTCCCAATCATTGTGAAACTTCTAAGTAGAAAATAAAAATTAAGACAACAGCATTGCTCTTCAGAATGAAGAAGGAAGTGCATGTCATCACAGAATATAGATGCCCTGCAAGGGAACATGTTCAGTAATTCACTAAGTATGTAATACAGCTCAAGTTTTGAAGGCTTTAAATGTACGTTTTTAACTCCAGTCCATTTGGGGCTACTAGAACACTGCAAGGAAAGAACTAATGTCTTCCAATTAAATATGTGATTACCATGAATAGAAATCAGAGCACCTACGCAAATTAAAATCTGGACAATGGCTTGCTTATCTTTGAAACAGATCCTAGAAACCACATAAAATGTCAAGAGCATTCAATATCCATTAAGACAAGAGCTAAGAAATGTTAGCATCAAAAGAAACAAGCTTCAACATTTATGTTTTAGAACTCTGATCTTAAAACAGCATAATTTAGAAATCTATACTACCCCCCACTCCTCCCCCCAGGATTTTAGGTATCTGGAATTGATACCTAGCTAGACCAGGTCCAAGGTGGAAACATCAGAAAAGGAAATCCACGGGCCAGTGCCCGTGTAGACTGCTGCCTGCCCACTCTGCTTGCCCACCCCCCACCCCCTCACCATGCTCGCTGGCCTTCAGTGGCCCGGGATATTTTTTTTATCACTCAGTTTGAATCCTGCGATCAGAAGATTGCTTATTCACTATCTTCTGCTCGCAGAGTTCAAACAATTACAATGCCGCTACTGGCATTTTCCTGCCCTGAAAAAAAAGACAAGACCGAATAAAGCCGGTAGCAGCATTGCAATTACACTTAGCTGGAAATTCTGGCTTGCCAGATTGGATCTCTCCAATTAGTACGGCTAGTCGGAGATTTATTTTATATTATATCCAGTGTTACCTTGAAAACAATTAATTGTCATAAAATTGGTGCGTTAAGAGAATAGACAAGTCAGATTTGAATTTCTTAGTCAACTCAATCAACAGGACTATGAAAGTACATTTCATGCAGAATAGCAGATACATTACATTTGGCAAAGAGTTTGTAACTTACAAAATGGCAAGTGGCCAAAGAAAATGTAGGTTTTAGAAGCATGAAGCAAATGACCATACCCTAAATACATGTATTCTATCATTTTAACGATTTAAAAACATTTTAAAGGCAAGGAGTTTTACAAAAGTAGCTTTGTAGAGGAAAATGTTCCATCTAGTTTTGTTCATGCCAAGAAATTGACCCATTTAGTGCCGTTGCCATTAGTAACCATTGATGAGATTCTTTCAGAATGAAAGGCATGCTCACAGAATCTTCATTTTCAAGACAGAACAAGCTGAAGTAAGCATAATGCTTTTTTGTACTATACAAATAAAACAAATCAAAATGCCATTTATTCAGTTCTTCTGTTCCGGGAAAATAAAAAAAAATCATATTCCTGCACGAAAGTGGAAAATACATTTTCTTACATTTGCTCTGCTTAGAGAAAAGGGTAAAAGACAAGTTTCAACATCAACAACCTCACAAACTTTGTTAATACCTTCTAATTTGTTTGAAGTCTTACTCTGAAATGTGGGTGATTTATTATGTTATTGGGAGAATGAATGCTTGAAGCAGCATAAGTGGACCATTTTGCTTAGTACAACTGAAATGCTATTATATATCTAAAGCACCACAATGGAGCTATGGTTGGTCTGGGAACAAAAAGTAAAAAAGACCAATAGAAAGCATCGTCTTCAGAAGAAACAACACAATGCAACAACAAATTACATTTGTATAGCCCCTTTCACATCAGGAGAACGTCCCAATACTTCATAGATTCTACCCATTACCACTGAAGAGACTCCAGTCTTACTATTTCTGTAGTCCTTTTCAAACAATGCTGATATTCACACATGAAGTGATTTTAAAATACAGTAGTTCAGTAAGTAGACACTCATTTAGTAATATGACATGCAAACCAGGAACGGTCAGCTGCTGTGGTGTGCTGATTAACTGTCTCCATCACAATAACAGTGAGAGTGGGAGTAGGCACTAAACTGGTCTTAACTATTAAGCTGTGCAAAGAGTGCTCAATGCCGATTGCTATCATGGAAATAGTTTGTGTTTGGTTATCGGTAAGACAGGGTTTGGAATGAGTTTATGATGCCACCCATGACTCACAGTACAAGCTGTAAAGAACAGGACTTGAGCAGCAATGGAAAGATTTCCAGCACCTATGATTCCATACTCCCAAGTGGGATTATTATCTTCTGGAACTGAGGAGGAAAACGCAAATTTTTCAACTCTCATTATGTTGGACAGATTCAAATACAGCAAGTATGACAAACAGACTTATTACTAGCTTCTTGTGTCAGACATTTAAACAGATAAATGCTTTACTGCAAAACAAACCAGAATCCCTGAAATTGGCTTAACTACTACACATGTTCACGTTTTCATGCTTCAAATGAACTCAAAAGCTTACTTTTCCAACTACATATTTTCAGGATCCTATTTTTGGTTGTATTTGCATTATTATTTTGATGCATCTAATATTAATAGTGACCAATTGTCAAGCGAAGTGAGTACCACTAACTATCTAAATACATTGGACAGCAGATATCTTAATACAAAAAAATGGATTCAGAATAACTATTTATAAACGTTATTTCTTTTCAGTGAAACAGGAATTTAAATCAAGCACAATTCCTTTCAATCAGTTTACGACTAATGTCAGCATTCTTCCCAACAAACTAAATTTTCTCAACAGCAACACTAAATGACCTAAGTAGAGCTTAGAGAGACATGCCTCAAGCACAAACCAAGTCAATAATGCTACAGTAATGTTTGCAATTAATTTTGAAGGGGGTGGGGGAAGAAGAGGGCATTATTACAGTTGAGTCCACACTACTAGATAAAGCGAGTGGCAAACGATTTTATTTTTTCTAATTTGTCAGATAGACAATTCGTTTCTTCATTTTTGACAAAATGACCAACTTCCATGTCGTCGGGATCACTAGGCTGCTGTGCAAAGGAAGCTATGCTGAAAGCCAATTCCTTTATGCTGCGCATGCTCAGGAAGCCATGTCAATGGTGACCTGATGACCTGGAAGTGGGCAATCTTCGTAGCCTAAAATAATTATCATCAATGAAGATTTATTTTCATTGGATTGCAGAACATTTCAAAAATGACATTATTTGATGCTTACCAATTTCCACCAATCCTGTATAAAGCATGACTCGGAGTATAAAAATTATACACAATACACAACACGAGTAATGTTCTTGGTGGAATCATTTCTGGTGTCAGAACTGCATCCTTAAAATATCAATGAATTCTTAATAAGAACGAAGAATCAGAAACCAGCTCTATCCATTTTCATTCAGCAGGCACAAATGAACAAAATCTTATTTTGAACAAGGAACGGAAATAAAAGTCATGGTTACCATGGTTACACATACTCTTTGTTGTGTTTCAGTGCCACATGATCTGATTCAAAGTAGTACACGTCAGGTTCTTCCTCCTCTTCTTCTCTAGTTTGCTGGCTGCTACTCTCCCTGCTAGTATATAAGTGCCCACTTCCCAGGCCCAAGTCCGTGGGTAAATCAGACATATTTCCATTGAAACATTCTCCAACAGAGTCCTGAGGCAGGTCTCTCTTGGATTGAGAATCTTCTTCAAATTCCATACAATGCTCAGTGCCAGCAGCAACTGTTCCTACAGCCTTTTCCATTTCATTAAGGCTGGGAATTTTGTCTTCAGGCTGTCCATTGTCCCTTAAAGGTGAATTTATCTTTTGAGGACTGCACTTAACAGCGGCAGCCCTTCTGGGTGAAGTTCTCAATGCATATCTATGTTCTTGAGGCTCAGCCAAGGGAACTAATCCAGAGTCCAGCACTGCAGATGAATCAGTCACCCCTGAGAACTGTTCAATGTCCTGAGCAGTATCGATACTGCAATTGGCATTTTCAAAACACTGTTCCTTCAACTGGCATGAACTATCTCCAACAACATCCACTTCTTCCTCAGACTCCCTGATTTGTGATGGATTTTCGATTGCTAGAACTGCGGTAGATTGTTGTGATTGACTAGTTTGTGATACAGAGGGGCAATCACTCACTATGCTGTAGCCTTCCCACTCTGAATCTGTACAAGGCACATCAGGCTCTGAAACAGTGACGATCTTACTGCCATTGAGCAGTACTGAGTGATCGCATGAATTACTATTTTCAATTTCAGTCAGTAAAACGGATGTACATGTATCAACATCAACACATTTTGGTTTATTGTTCAAATGAATAGATTCACACTCACTAAACTCTGGAACAGCAGCATCTTTTTCATTGATCCCATTGGAAGTCTGGTGAGCAGTTACCTCTACAGGCAACACAGAACTGTTCTGTCCGTTGTCCAAATCTTTCCCCTTTTTGACCTCCCTTTTGTCACAATCATCCAGTAAAAGAAATCGTCGAGCTCGCTTAAGCTGTGACGAGTCCCCGTCATTATTTACAGCCAAACTTTTTCTTTCTAGTGGCTGTTTTTCATTTTTCACAGGTGAAACATCTTCTGAACCATCAATGGTTTCTGATCGGGAACAGCGTTTTACACGTTTAAAAACTGGCGATACTGTATCACAAATGTCTAAAGCTTTTTTTTCATTATTATCCTTTTCAGAACACGATAATCCCCTTTTCCTAGGGCTCACCCACGATTCTCGAACACTCTGCTGTTTACATTCCGTGACCCTTCCTCCATTAGTACCCTTTTGTTGTTGTATACCGTCCTGCTTCTTTTTGGGTGATCGAGATCTTAGATGAGAAAGTGGAGAAGAATCTTCAGAGTGAACAATACTACGATTTCTCAAGGTTCGGCCACAGAAGTTTTCATCCAAACCATTCGACCCAACTGATGATCTTGTGACACGCTGAGATCGAAAAGCAGCCATAATATGGCAAATCCCTACAATATCATCATGATTCACTCATCAGCACCATGTGAAGAAAACCTTTAGAATACAAAAAAAAGAAAGTTAGCCTAAATGCAGAAATGTACATAAATCTAGATGCAATTACAATTTGCAGTGTCCGGTTGAAAATTAAATTCCCTATTTTCTCCTAGATTTATTTTACTAAATCTCCCAAGGGATCTCACATATCCCAACCACGGTAGTGAGTAGAGAATCTGCTTTCAGAACTCCAGCGATGCCGTGAACATTGATTTTGAACATTTGGAAATTCAGAATAAGTTTACAGTGGCTGAAGGCTCAGCTTCCAATGTTAGAGCAAAAATAATGGGTCACAGAGAGCAATCCATCAAAAGAAGGAAAGTGTGAGACTCAGGACCGAGCAGATTGTAAATGTATAGTTGAAAGGGCTTTGAAAACAAAAATAAACCTGCTGAGGAGCAGGAAACCCAGTAAGAATTTGTAATGGATACAGGTGAGACTACAGAAACCTGTCTAGGAGAGTACTGGGCTACAGAACTTGGGGCATGTTGAAGTTTGTGAAACTTGAAGTGAGAGAAAAAAAGATATAAGAACATAGAGAAAACAAACATCAAGTAATAAACAAGTGGATAAAACTTTCAAGGATTCTTGTGGTGAGACAGTAGTGCAAGTGGGCAATGTTTATGATGATAGATAATGATCCTAGTGACGGATCAAATGTGGGATTTGAAACTCAACCAGGATCAAAAATAATGTTGAAGTCAAGTACTCATTTAATTCAACCAACCAAGCAGGTCAACGTTATCAAGCCAAATGGATGTAGGCACCGATGAGAGATGAACAAGATGGCTGCTGTCTTCTTGATATTAAACTGTGGAATGTCAAGACAAGGTGTAACAGGCAATCAGACAGAATCCCAACGATCCCCAAAATCCAACAAGCTGGAATTTCTGGCTAAGTGTAATTACAATACCAGTACCAGCATTGTAATTGTTTGAATCCTGCAAGCAGAAGATAGCGAATAAGCTAATAAACTATCTTCTGCTCACGGATTCAAACAATCTGAGTCAAAGTTGATATCCCTGGCCACTGTGAAGGCCAACAAAGACAATGAGGCTGCTCAGCGCAACACTGGCGCAGAGTAGGAAGGAGTCGGGAGTCTACACTCATACCTGCGGTACGTTTTGGTCCATAGAATTTGTTTTTTTAAATGTTGTTGTTTCAGGCACAGTCTGGCAAAGTTCAAATTCTGGATACCCAGAGTTCTATAAATCAGGGCTTACTGTACAGTAAACCAAACACGAGGTTACAACTCAGCGAATTAAATAGGTGGTGCATAGATCATGACAGGATAAATTGCATTCCGTCTGTGGAAAAAGTGGCCTTGATAAGCTGAAAGACCTTTTTGTGTTGCACACTTTCTTATGTTATTATAATAATACAAAATGACATTTCAGTAATAAATAAATGTTGAGCCTGATGCTATGACATTCCAAAAAATGACATTGCAAAAAGAAAACTTTATTGCTATTTTTATTATTTATATTTGAAGCAATTCTGCAGTAACTTGGTACTTAGGATTCACACACTGCACATTTCAGAGTGGAATCAACAACAGCAACACAAAGTTATGAATGAACTTTCCAAACTAATAAATTTCAGGGTTACTTTCTGACTATGGGCTTTCCTCAGTGAATCTTGAAGGTCCATAAACCCTCTAATTCTGAAACAACAATAAATCATGGCAACCATCTTTGATCTGAAGTACAGTATATTATTTTCCTCTCCCATCTGAATAGCGGAAACTTAGGGTTCTAAGAGAATGGGAAAGGCTTCTATTTCAAGGACTTATTTTATTATAAAGCTCAAAGTGATAAGAGTTTACAGCATAGTTTACCAAAGCCAATTCAGTAATGCACAGCAAGTAATTAATTTGTTGAGATGAGAAATTAATTTTCTAATATGGATATTATAAGGATTCAACATCTTATTAACCCTGTAGTTTTAATGCAATGCAAACTACTACCCCTAACCCAAAGGAGTATAAACATTCAGGGTTATTATGAAAGTCTGGTTCACTAAATGAAGAATTTATCCCATGAGTAACAGCCAGTAATATGCTGTCAGTTATATTGCACCACAGGTAGCAAATATTCTAAATGTAAGATTTTTTCCTTATTGGGCATGGTTTGAATTAGAGGGTATAAAAGAAGGTATTTGCGAGATTACTTCTACTTGTGCTTGTGACAGAATTCAATTTGGCAACAGAAATCAATAACATCCATGTCAGAAAAACCCATAAATATAACAAACTGGCAACTGGAACACACTTCAAAATATTTATCTTGTGTAACATAGTATCCTGAATGAACAACTGACAAAGGCGTTATTAAAATAACAGCGTATTGCAGAAACTAGCACCATAAATATCATTGCCTTAGATACGTATAGAGCAATGTAGGAAGACAAATTTCTTGAAGCAAGTTAAATTATTAAATAGTCAACTAAACAAATTTATATTAACGCATATTCTAAGGTTTGAGCAAATTCAATATGAACAAAAAAAATCAATGATTATACTTTCTAATTCTTAGACATTGCAATATTCTCTGCAGGCCACAGTAATTGACAGCTTCTGAGAATTACAGCACCAAAATGAAAAAAGGGCACCAGATTACAATTTATATACAGAATACTGTTGCATCAAGTTGCTGCGGGATGCAGGTTTGACATTTCCCACACATCAATTTGCAGCACATCAAGTGAAAGTGCTAAATAGTTTTTCAGAAAGGTATGTGCTAATTAAAATCAGTAAATAGAAGAGAAATACTATACTAACCCAGTCCAGGAGGCCACACATTTAATTCATAGTTTGTATTGAATACGAAGATTACAGCAGAGTGGTAGTTGCAGTACACGACTGCAATTGGCCTCAGTAACCCTGTGCTAGGAAGGAGTGTGTGTGTGGGGGGGAAAATCAGACAAATCCTGACTGACAGTTTATCCAGTCACCCATGCTGGACGATGCACAGGTGCGATGCCTCCATGGTCGAATAGCCTGTCAACATTCACTGTCTAAACACACACTAGATTTCCCACTTTGGCAAAGTAAGTGCAGCTGTCTATGGCGGACACTCAAGTAAGAATGAGAAACATTTCTACAAGTCTTAAGTTACTTTTCTGTAACAATGTCATTTCATAAAAATAAGCAAGGCCATTACAGGAATGCCTTAATTTTTGTCGACCAGGTGATATTACAATATTAAATCCTTGTGGGGAGAACACAAGTGGCTATTTAGACCAGGACACATTTCAACACAGGATAAAGCTGTTAAATCGGAATTGAAAATGAAAATAAAGTTTGTATATTACAATCAAAATAGTTTGGTGTCTTCGTGGGGGAAATGCAGGTTTTCTATTACTGTCAGTAGTCAAATGATTCTGGCTCCAGTGGCCAGATCTGATGTGATGTATTTACACCATCCATCATGAAAGAGCGCTATCATTAAAATTTGGAATTCTATTTGAATAATACTGAATTATTTATTAACTGGCAATTATTAACAGAGCCTTTGAATACCATCATCATTCTATTAATTGAGCTCCTTCCTTGGCCTCAGTGGATTACACCATGTTTCCAAGTGTCCTCCAGGAGTAAAAAAGTGGCAGCCCATTTTTCACTATCATTTAATAATAATAATAATAATAATCCTTGCATTTGATATAGCGCTTTTCACGTCGGGAGGACGTCCCAAAGCGCTTCACAGAATATACTGTAAAGTGAGTTGACTGTATATTTGTGGGCGAACGCGGCAGCCAATTGCGCACAGCAATGTCCCACAAACAGTCATAGATTGAAAATGACCAATTTAATTATTGTTTTTGGTTTTTGGAGGATTATTATTAGGCGTGTGGAGTAAGGAAACTTGCCCAAGGTTTCGCCCTGCCTGGAATTGAACTCAGGTCTCTCGCTTGCAAAGCGAGTGCTCTAACCACTGAGCTACAGGACTCCAACATTTACATGATGACTTAAGGGATACGACAGGACATGTTGTTCACACATTTCTTGTACAAACTAATTGAATTCCCTCTCATAATAATCAGAATGGCGTTTCTGACGCTCTTAATTGGCAACTTTATTTACTTTATCTTGAGTGTTTTACCTCAGGAATTTCAAGAAGGTGCAGCTTGATGCAATTTGAATTACCCAAATAATTTTAACTAGGTATTCAGCCAATCATTAGCTGGAAAATGAAGTTCATACATGTTCAATGTATTTTAATTATGCAATTTTGTATCCTACAAACACTTCTGAGGAGAGATAGCAAAAGTATTCAGTGTTTTCCAGAATGGATTAAAAACTTTATGTAATTACTGTAAATCGTAAAATTCAGTTAGCCTAATTATCCACGAAAAACATTAAAGATACAAAAGCCTTTTAATAACCAGACATTCAGCTGCTGGGGGGAGGGGAAGTGATAATTAGTCTGTTTCAAACAAATTTATTTTGTAAATTTAAATCGTGCACATTAACAAGATTAAATCAACATTTGAGATGGCAAATTTTTTTAGTAATTTAAAGCAGTATTTAAGTTTTCAATCAGAATCATAATTTTACGTTCAAACACAAGAGATTTCTCACGGGTCCACGACATTCCATCTAAATACGGAATAACCTCAAACTCCAACACCTGCTTCCATCTTTAAAGTCACTGGATTAGAAATAATTCCAAATTATATAACAATGCAATCTCACTTTTTAAGAAGTCTGTCCTAATTTGTCATCTTTAGTGTAGATAAACTGTGAACTTTGGATTTTGGTTACTATCAATTTCAAATGAAAACACACAAAATATCAGTATTTACTGCAATAGTTAAAGCTGGAAACAACTATATTTATAAACATATAAATATAATACCCTGCATAGCATGCTATCAATAAGCCACTGGTGTATTTGTGCAGGAAGCTGGTAACTGCTCTTGGAAGAGTTTCCAGCAATTGACAAGAGACCAAGAGATGCCAGAAGGCTTTATGCAGGGAGCTGGCCAGGCAGTGCTGG